CTCCTCTTCAAGTTTTGCTTTTGTCTGTTCCAAATACTTCATTTTCTCACTTTCTGTCATGCGCTGCTCTTTGTGTCTTTCTCCATCCATCAGAAGCTGAAGTTCACTGCTGCTGTTTGTGGTTTCTATGTGAATAGAAGAGGTTTGCATTTATTTTAAAGATCAAATATTTTCTTCTTATGCAGTGATGCTCTTTGCTGAGCAATGGCTATAAGGGAATGTAACAAAGCACAGCAGGACTGTAATGGCATGGACAGTATAGCAAAAAATCTGACATCATTATTTAAAATAAAATAAAAAAACATAACATGTTTTATTGTTATTCATGCCATGACCACCAAGAATTCTCTTTTCTGATTGGCTGGAAGTGTGCATTTACTTGTTTATAATGCACCATTATTAAGGCCTTTACATACAAGGTTTTTTTGTTGTACGATAAGATTAGATGTTCCTTTATTGATCCCTCACAGGGGGAAGTCTAATTCAAAGATACCAAACAAGTTGTATTTTCCTTGATTGTCATGGATGACACAGACATCACATCTGATGGTTCTTAGACATTCACTCTAAACTCAATTTATGGAGAAATAAACAATGATGTGAAAGTAACTTGAGTTTTGAAAAGAAGTACAAAAAAGTTTTGCCTTACTGATTTCATTTCGTCCCCATTTCCACACAACGAAGAAAACTGCAACAACAGCGATGAAGCACACAGCCAAGCAGATGGTGATGCGAACAGCAGAACTAGACTGGACCATAAAGAGATCAGCTGAAATGATAAAACACATAACAGATGTTTAATAACACTAAACTTCAACAGTCTGTAACTAACAAAGTGATAACAACAAAAACTCTACCTGGAAGTTGGATGTGTGTCTCTCTGGTCTGATTGATGTCCTTCTGTTGGACTCTACAGGTGAAGATGTTGCTGTGTCTCTTCTCCACAGTCACTCTGCTGCTGACAGTATAGAGGTCATCAGGACCTCTGACTGTCTCTGTAGGTCCAGCAGAGAGGAGGTTTCCCTCACCGTCCAGCCAGACCACCTCAGGCTCTGGATACCAGCCTTTAGATTTACACTCTAACAGCACTCCATTGCTGACTTTGGAAATGTCTATTTCAGGTGAGGAGACTGAACCTAATAGAGAGTAGAAATGTCAAAAATACAATACTTCTGCAAAAAGCCTGATGATTCAAGTTAAACTTTACCATATACACAGTCTAAACACCTTTCCAGCTGAAACTACTTGAACTACTTTTCTTAGTGAAACAAGTGTCTGCCCTTTTAAGCTGATGGTAAATGACCTAGTTAATTTTGAATCATGATGTTTATACCCTAATCACACATCAGTCATTCATTTTACCTCTAATGTAGCAACCCAAGTGCTTCACAATGACACACTGACCCCCTGATCTCCCTCTAGTCACCACTTTTGGCACTTTTGGCAGTGCTCTTGTCAGACAAAATGCTATTCTTCATGGCCCAAATCAATTTCTGCTTGATCCAAATTTCCCTGTGGGTGATCCAGGTCCCTCTGTGGTCCGTCTAAGTTCCTAAGTGATTGACTTGAGGCCCATTGTTTATCTCATGTGTCTCCAGTATTATCCCCCCATCCATACATTTGTGCCAATTATCAAGGTCTAGGTCCTGGCAGCAAAGAAGTAGCCCATTCCTAAATTCCTTTATCTTTTCTTTTTTCCTTCTTAACATTTTTCACATTTCAAGTTGTACAGTAGAATCTCTGATTGTCATAACTGTGTCCCTTATGAGTATACAATGCATTTCTACATTTCCAATGGATTGATGTCAACTTACCCACAGTGAGCTCAACCGCAGATTCCGGACGATCTGGGGGAACAAGGCATTTGTAGGTTCCTGCATCAGAGAGTTTCACTTTGGAGAGTGTCAGTGAAATGTCTCCACACTTTAGTTTGTCGATGGATAGTGAAGTTCTCCTCTCGTATAATGGATGCTCCTCAGACACATGCTCCACACCGTCTCGCCTCAAATGGACTAACTTGGGGTCTAGGTCAGGTCTGGTCCACTCCACAGTCAGGCCAGTAGCATCCCCAGCAGGTTCCAGGTGACATGGTAAAATAACATCATTACCAACCACTGCCACTATTGACTGAGATGTACCAATCAGCTGAGACTGACCTAGGAGGAAAAAAAACAAAGTTGTGAGTTCTCAGTAGCAGGGTTCCTCATACTATGTGCATCCCCAGGTTGGAGAGAGGAGAGGAGAGATAACAAACATTTGAAGGGGAGGATGAACAGTTAAACTACAGGATGGGATCCAAGGACGTCCAAGAGTAGGAATGATTCCAGTGCAGAGATGTAGGTGGTCCAGTCAAAAGACAGAATAAAAAGTTGGTTCACAGCATGAATTCCAAAGATGTCCATGTGTGAGGATGTACGTGTTCCAGTCAAATGGTTGTCTTAGGGTTAAATTTAGGGGTACGATTGTCTTATACAGGTGTGGTTGGGTTAGAGGTTGAGGCAGGATTAAATTAAAGAAGTTTAAAATAAAAAAAGAAATCATTCAATCTTGACAGATAAACACCACAATGTCAAAGTGTGACTAGATCTTATTCTTGTCTTGTGACAGGGGTGCACTTATATAATCTTTAGAAGTCTTAGGGCTCTTGTATATATATATATATATATATGGAGAGAGAGAGAGAGAGAGTTTGAAAGACAGCAGCAACAACATTTGAGTTTTTTTCACTTAGTTATTATCTATACAAACCTCAATCTATGTAGAATGTAATGAAACTAAACACTGCATCCAAAAATAAGCAAGTTAATGCAGTAAAATGCAGCTGTACAAAGAAAAGAAGAAAACTGTAGAATTTACTGTGCATGATTTCTTTGTACTATTATAGTATATGTAAACTCTGATTAAGGGCATTCACCATGTGTTTGTGTGTATTTTACCTGCAGAAGGTAGTGTTAGGAGGAGGAGGATCACAGTGTGTTGCAAGACCAGTGCACTGAAGTCACTGAGCTGAGCTTTGAATATGAGTCTGTCCTTCATGTGCATCATCCTGGAGTTCTGAAAATGTGAATAAGTCAACTCCAAACCACGTAAGATCAATTCACTCTGAAATGTCTCTCAAGGTGTATATGTCCTAAGGTGACCACAGTGGTAGTTTTGCTGTTTTTATTTACTCCTAAACAATTTAATTTAAATTTGTATTAGTAACAAACATTACAGTGAAGACAAGAGGAAAGCTAGTATTGAATATCTGGAAATACAAGGTAAAATACTATGATTGGGCCAAGATAAGATAAGATTTTTTTATTTCTTTGCTAATTACTTTTGGTTTCCATATGAAAGTTCTATGTACATAATGTTTACAAAATGTAATAACATACGTCAGTCTCATTTAATGTGTTATAAGCAGCTGATGGTGCCACAAAACCCAAAGATATGTATTAAATTGAAGTTATCTTGCTCATTGCAAATATTCTTTAACAGTTTCCTTTTAAAATTACTTTTTATATATGTTATTGGTATTTTTTTTTTTTTACGTGTCTTCACTTGCCTTCTTGTTCTATATTTAACTCTAATGCACGAAGATACAAAGTTCTTTGTATGTGAAAACGTACTCGGCAATAAAACTCGTTCTGACTGATTCTGAGACTGTTGACAGTTTGACTTTCAACCTAGAAAACGGCTATAACTAATTACAATAATTGGCATGTTAGAAAATTACTAAACAATAAGTAATATATATACTATAATACAAGTAGTTCATGTAAAAATCCTACATACCTGTTGTGTGTGTGTGTTAACGAGTCGCTTCAACAGAAAGGGAGGTAATCTGCACGGTCAAAGTCCAAAATACATGGGTCAAGTAAAGAGCCCCGCCTTCTGCAATTTAGATAATGTGTTATAAGATACCCTTTCCATCAAGCTTAAATCAAATTTGTGGTTTTAAGAGTTTGAGAGTGCATGCACAATGTTTTCTATCTGCATGTCAGATTTGCTTTTAAGCCTAAAACACTGTGAGTCTGCAGAGCTCTTGTAGGCATCCAGACTTTTTTTTCTTTTTAGCTATAAATGTAATGTTTGAAATGAATACTGGAATACATTTGTACACAGAACACAGAAAATTAAACATAAAGCACCAATCCAGTCACTTTCATTGTAGTATATCAAACTAATTTATGACTGCCTGATATCAAAGGTCAGTGTTGGTCCAATATAATAAGAATTAACGTGTATGAGTTTACTTGTATTGTACTTTCGTTTTCTTTCAGTCTGTTAATCTATGACCTGTTTTAAAGGTTGAGATTAAACTTTGGACCAGCTACCTGCTGTATAAAATACTACAGTAACACTAAAGTCAACAGGTGGGTGGTACAAGGACGTCAAAATGGCTACTTGGTTTGGTATAAAATACTGTGTGTGATTTACTGCAGCATGAATGTGAGACAGACAACAAAAGAGTGAAGAGAAGAGGTAAATGCCCTAAAACAAGAACTTGTATTGATAAATAATGATTTATTGTTCCTTTCACTCTTTTTTTATACACACACACACACAGGCTGAAATACACACTTCATGCAACATGGAGAGAGATGGTGTGATGAGCTGCCATGTTAGCAGCGCCTCATGAGCAGTTTCTTGTGGTTAGGTTGCCTTGCTCAAGGGCACCTCGGCAGTGCACAGGAGGTGAAACTGGCACCTCTCCAGCTACCACACTCCATACTGTGGGACTTGAATGTCTTCTTATTGGTATTATCTATTTAATGAATTTTTCATGACATTCTAAAATACCCAAAAGTGGTTTATAATAAGTTAGAGAGTTATTTGGCTTTCCTGTTGTCAAAGTCATAATATGCTCTGAAAATCAGGTGCTCTGGCGCCACCTGTTGAGATTGTACTATTTTATTTTTTATTGCTGTCTGCAGTCACTAGAAGAGAAACAGGAAGAGGAGGAGCAGACTCTGACTTGATGCATGATATTTTAAACTCAGTCTGATGTTCAGACAGTCAGCAGCAAGACAACATGGAGGTTACAGCTCTCCCATCACTGTGTGAGTACTGCCTAACATTCACAAACATATATTGATTCAATCATTGTGAAATAACAGATGTGGAACTGAAAAGTTTATTTGGTTTAAGACCAAATTTATATGAATTATCCGAAATGCACAGGTACGTAACTAATATAAGTTGTATAGAGAGTTGTAAAATACTCGGTGATAAACTCATAGAACTCTTTTGAAACGATGGACAAATTTCATACATGTTAGATATGTGATATATGTTTTATGTTACATCTGTTACAGTATGCAGCTCTCTTGTCTCTCCAGTGATGATTGTGTTGTTGCTGCTGGTCACACAAGTTGACTTCAGTTATTCTCAAAACGCTGGTGAGTAGCAGCTTTTAATGTTAATCAGTCAACCTTTACAATGTGATGTATATGTAACTTTAATTTCCCTTCAGCAGTAGCAGTAGTCGTGTTGTTTTTATGCATGTCTATTGTAAGAATAAGAATAAGAAATAAAGTTGGATTTCAAATAGAAAACATTTAATTGAAAACTATTTGTTTTTTTATGTCTCATTCTTTGTGTCTCTGTTTTAGAGGTAAATTTTCCTCAGGTTGTTCCAGACAGACAGCAGCACTTTCAATATGAGTCCATTGTTGTCAGCTGTGAGGGACTGGAGGGGCTGACTGGATGGAGAGTGATGAGGAACATCAGAGGAGTTGTTAAAACATGTGCTGCTAGCTGGTCGGCATCAACAGGACCCTGCAGAATTACAACTGTGTATCCAGACCTTGACAGTGGAGAATACTGGTGTGAGATGGGAGGAGGAAAGAGAACCAACACTGTCAACATCACTGTCACTGGTATGTACATAGTGAAATGCCTATTTGAAAAAAAACACTGGGAGGCGAGCCTCCCCAGAGGGGCATGGGATAGTTGGGAGGGTTTCAGAGAATATCAATATTACCAATGTCCATTGCACATAAACATCTATAGATCTGCTCAGAAATCATGCCAAACCAATCAGTTTTTTTGCCAATGTTGTATTAATCTATTTTCTATTGTAAGTGAAAGATTTATATCTGTTTTCAACATAAAAAAGATTCTACCCTTTCACACGGTTACACATTTTTAACATGTAACATGTTGTTCAGCTGGTTCTGTGATCTTGGACAGTCCTGTCCTTCCTGTGATGGAGGGAGACAGTGTGACTCTGAGCTGTAGAAAGAAGCTGACATCCTCCAACCTCACTGCTGAATTCTTTAAAGATGGCCACTTCATGGAGAGCAGCTCTACAGGAAACATTACCATCCACAATGTTTCAAATTCTCATGAAGGACTCTACAAGTGCAGAACCTCTGATGTTGGAGAATCACCAGAGAGCTGGTTGGCTGTCAGAGGTGAGACTTGTTTTGTACCTTATGTTGAGTTCCAAGTTGTAAATGCCAACTTGTATCTGAGTTTACTCTGCTCTGTGCTCTGTGGTTGGCTGAGTATGAGTTACAGTTAAGGATAGTTAATGAAACTGTAAAAGCTGTTGAAACCTGAGGACTGTGGCCTCTGACGTGGGTTTAAGCTTTTGGTCTGAAACATTATAATGTTTCTACAGAACTGGTGCTCAGGTATAAAGTTTACATTTCAGAGGAATGTTGGATGTTATTTAAGAAGAGGACTGAATGGAAGTATAAAAGGTTTTATTTTTACTAATATATTGTGTCTCATATGCACCACGTACCATTATCTCTCCAGAAGCTCATGAGGAGCCTCACCCTTCCTCCCATCATACCCCTCAGCTGTACCTGCTGCTCTGCGTTGGCCTCTGTGTTTTCTTGGTGGCTCTGCTGATGTTGGTCGGATTAGTGCGATGTAGGAAACGTCAAACAATTGTTACAGGTACAGAGAATACAAATGAAGAAACTCCTTCATTTATTGACACAAGGTTCGCTAAAAGGGGGCTCTTTATTGTAAAATGTGACTTTTTGTGTTTAAGTTAACTGTATTATTTTAAGTTAACTAATTTAAAGAGTGTTTGTTTTTATTATTCAAACAGGTACAGCAACCTCTCCTTCCTCCTTCCAGTCTTCCTCTTCTCCACAAACAGGTGAGGAACAACAACCTCATTGCAACATCACTATATATATTCAGTTTGCCAATATGGAAATGATCCCATGTAAGAATTGTTTTTCATACTTTACATACTATACAGATTTTCTTCTGTCAACTTGTACACATATATATCCTGAGTCATGTCAGGCGGGGCGGTGAACTGTAGCATTTTTCATGCATATTTCATGCACGTTAATCTGTGCACATGTCCACTGTGTGTGAGCACAACCTACCTGCTAAAGGTGTTGTATCTTCATTATGTTTCAGTGTCTGGAGAGGCCCGTGTAGCTGATCCGGTAGAGCCAACGTATGCTCTCATCACAAAACCCATGAAGGAGAGAGGTAATTAACTTCACACTGAGAAAGAGAGAGTCCAACATGTAAAAACAAATAAATAAAAGCATTGTAGCATTAAAGTCAATCTTCCATCTGACATTGAACAGACATTGCTGTGGTATCACAACCAGACAACGGTGAGAACAACTAAATTAAACTCTGTTAGTCTGTGTTGGGCCTTGTGACTGTTAGGGCTTCTATGTTAGCAGCTCAGACAAAAACCACACACAAAACCCACAGACAGAAACAGGTAGATGGGCCCCTCAGTTCGCTGCTGCTGTTGTAATCATGGGACAGGCTGCTTGTGTAGCCACTATGAAAAAATACTACACCACAATGTACGCATTTATTTATATCAGGACACCATGTTTTTTTAAGCCAGACGTGTTTCTTGTGTTGGTAAGTGAGTGAGTCTAATTTATAAATGAACAGTGAGGCCAGACTAACGATCAGAAGACTAACTGCACTGGAGTAAATTTGGACCTTTATATTTTCACACTTTTTGCTCTAGATTCACCTGCATTACTAAAATAACATGGCGGGACATTAACTGTGTCTGTAGAAACTGTGAGTAGATCACAAGGCAAAACCATTTGTAAAATATTATTTTAAAATAGAACTTACTAAATAATGAATTAAATAATCAAACACTATCAGTTTATTTAGGAATTGTTGGCGTTCTCCTCCTTAACTTGTACAATCAAAACTTTGGAGGGTGCATCTCAGGAAAAAGTATTTTATTAAAAAAAAGGAAATGGACCAATAATTGAACCCTGTGGTACACCAGATGTAAGCGGAAGAACACAATCAGATACAACCGGACAGTATTTAAATAACTTTTATGTTGTTAGATCCTTCATGTCCGTATATCACTGAGGACACTAAGATCATGGGAAGTTTAAATATTACAGTTAATTGATTGTGTAATATATATATATATATATATATAAAATAGTATTTTACATTTGGCTAAAATTTTATTCCTAGCAGTCTGGACAATGCTTTGAAACAACATTTTGACTTTCATGTTGGGAAATACATTTTTAAAATATCAATTAAAAATCAAAATATTTAAATATTATAAATAATTATTAAAAATGTACTTTTTTGGTGTCATATTTTCTGAAGAAGCCTTGAACTCCTGAATGACCTCGCCTAGAATCCACTGCCAGTACAATCAAGAGATGACACGTTTAGGGTCATATAGATTTAATCTATATTAAGGCAAATTAAAAATGTTTTTATTTTTATTTCTCTTCAAAACAGAACCAAGAGCATACAGCTGCTCAGCGACACCAGTTCCCTATGCAGGTACCAACCTACTTTTAACAGAAGAGGATCTCTTGTATAATACAATCGATATATAAAGTCAGCAGGACTGAGGTAATACTGGTCTCCAGTATCTTTTTGCTCTATTTTAATGCAATCACTTTGCTTTAGAGAGGTGATGGAGAAGGGGTCATATGTCATAATGATGAGGGGGGCATCTTGACCTTAACTGATCAATATTTGTGGCTACAGTCTTTGTATCTTGTGTGTCTTGCAGGTTACTGAGAGCAGAGACACCTGGCTGAAGAGAGGAGGAGAGACTATTTAAAGCTCTATAATGTATGCAAGAAGGAAGTCATACACGAGCCTTTCGTGAACATTTCGTACTTTAAACTATTTGGAACTGTTACATTTTAATTACCTCTATTGCAGAATGAATGTTTGATTATAACAGCTTTAGTGTGTAAGGAAATATATTGAGAAACAGTTATTGTTATTATTACGATATAGCAGTTTATGTTGACTTGTAAAGACTTTACATGTGTTGATTCTTAAAGAAATGTGTGGCTTTTTATGAAGTGGAAATGACCTAAAAGCAGAGCATGATCATCATCTGAGAGCGAGAGCCAACTCACAGTATCAGTGTCTATTTCAAGAGGTATCAGTTCATCACAGTTAACCCACATTGTTCTCTCTTCTGTGTCTGTCCACGCACCTGAAAACGCTCTTTACAAGAACAGAGCTGCTGCTGCCTTTAAACACTCTCGCTGTGGCCTCTGTGGTCACACAGTGTCACACACACTGATGTATTATTGACCTAGAAGTTGGTTTGACCATTAATTATTTAACCATGAACATTATGTTAACACAAGACCTTTTTATAAGAATATAAGGTCAACCAGCTGATGAGGTTGAGGGATGTGAGAGGGAATACAGGTAGTTGTGTCACTGAATATGGTGTCAAAGGTTCCACCTCACATTTAAATGTTGTATTTATATTACAACAATTTATCTCTTATAAAGCTTTTACAGCACAGTGCTGCCGCCCATAATATTGTATTGCAACCATCATTATGATAACTGCTCATGGTGGCAATACAATGCATTTAGACATGCAGACATGGTAAAGACAACCTGCTGAAGCTCCAACCAAGCATGATCAGAAATACACAGTATTCAGTGACTGTTTAGAGTGTAACAATTAAACCTACTGCACCTATCTGCTACACCACTAATTACCAGTTCAAAGTTAAAATACAAAACATCTTTGATAAATGATACCACGACACGTAAAGCTCCACAGGACCTGTTACTGTAACATAACATCACAGCAAATGTTGATTTTGAAGGTTGAGTGTAATTTGTTTATTTGAAATTACATCATACATCCATATGACATACAATCACACTAACTGTACTGTGCTGCCCCCCTGAGGACCAGTTTCACTATTAGCAACTGACAGGCCTCATCAGATATTTGTGTCCAGGGGTGTGATGCAGTCTCATGACCATTTGTAAAATCTAGTTTAATCCAAAAATAACCCTTTGCAGCTTATAATGTGCAATTTCTTGCACATTTGAGATATGTGCATGCGGTTGCTTATGAGTGAACATTTTCATGTGATATATAATAAAATCAAGTATTTACAAATGAAACAGTGAAGAGATTTCTTTAATAATTGTAAATGTTAATCTTATGTTGGTGGTAGCAGCTATGGCTGGTTTGGTTAGTTTTAGGCAAAAGAAACACTCTTTGGTATAGTAAATCCATGGCCATGTTTGTAAGAGAATAAAGCTGAAAATAGGAAACGTGGTGGCCAATCCATCAACATCAAAAAAAAAAAAACACTGCACCACTGTACTTTACTCACATAGCTGCTCAATACTGTAAATGTGTGTGTGTATATATACGAGCTACCCCCCTCCCCCTCTAGTTTTACACTTGGAGTCTACAGTCTATATTTTATATGTTATATTACAATCTACATTTTATATGTTATATTACAGTCTACATTTTATATGTTATATTACAGTCTATATTTTATATGTTATATTACAGTCTATATTTTGTTTTATTTTTTTCTTAGTTTTATATTTACACTTATATTGTTTACCTTGTGTGTTATGTGCAATCACTACTGTTTTACTGTAGTAGTATTTTGTTTTCCTTTACTACTGGCTGCAGGTACAAAGAATGCATTTCACTGTGCATTGTACTATGTATAACTGTGCATGTGACAAATAAAAACCTCTTATCTTATCACAGTTGCTCCTGACCGACAACAGTAATAACTCACGTGTCCACTAGAGGTCCCTGTCAGGTACATTTTAGCATAGTTTGTTTTAGGCATTTAAACAAATGACCACCCATGCTGTGACAGCCTCTTTAATGTTGAATAAATATAATGGTAAAATTTAAAATCTATGATGACATGAATTGATCTCCTTTTGTATTTATGTCTGAGTGATCAGATTTGTGTTTCTCTTGAATTTCATCTCTCTGCTCCTCTATCTCCTCCAGTTGTTTATTTATTTTCTCCTTCTGATTATCTAACTCATTCTTCTTCTCTGTCACTATTTGAACCCCAAAATGCACAGCCTGTAAAACTGTGTCCATTTCATATAGTTTTTTCTCAAACTCTTTCTTCACTGTATCAAGAGATGGTTTTGTATCAAGACACTGTTTCTCTTTTGATGATATTATATTATTTCTTTCTGGCTGACTCTGGTTCTCATTCTGTCTCTCCGCCAGCTGCAATATCACTTGATGCATCTGGTTCTCCACAGCGCTCTTCTGATCCGTTAAGAAATTAAGCACCCCTATCACATCTTTGCATTTTTCTTCTACTTCCTTTAACTGTATATGAAGGTTTTCTTTCTTCTGATCCAAATCCTTGATTTCTATGCTTTCTGCCACCACCTGCGGTTTATCTTTTTCCTCCTCAATGAGCGAGTGAAGTTCTCTGTTGTCATGTCTTGATGTCAAGTTGTTGCCTGTTGTACAGAGAGAACAGAAATGTGTAAAACTGAGGAGGGCGGAGGCAGAGTATGTAAATCAATGACAGACTTACTATTCTGTCTCCATTTCCACATAATAAAGACAACTGCAAGAATAACCCCGAAAACCACAACCAGGCTGATGGTGATGTGAGCAGCAGAGCTACAGGGAGCACTGAAGAAATCATCTGTAATGATAAAACACAGAACACCAACAACTGGAACTCAACTGTCAGTCTAACACAGTAAACATTTAAATATAGAGCTCATTTTCAACCTGGAACATAGATGCGTGTCTCTCTGGTCTGGTTGATGTCCTTCTGTTGGACTCTACAGGTGAAGTTGTTGCTGTGTCTCTTCTCCACAGTCACTCTGCTGCTGACAGTATAGAGGTCATCAGGACCTCTGACTGTCTCTGTAGGTCCAGCAGAGAGGAGGTTTCCCTCACTGTCCAGCCAGACCACCTCAGGCTCTGGATACCAGCTGTTAGACTCACACTGTAAAACCACTCCATTGGTATCTTCATCTGTCTTAGTCCTCAAGAAGCTGATGATGAGTGAGGAGACTGCACCTAATGATGAAGAGAGTCAATGTACATTATAGTTCCTACTAAATAGTCTAGATTAGAATTCTTGGAAAAACATGAACCAGCTTCTTTAATTCAGGCAGAAAAAGTAAAACAAGCCTTTCCAGCTGTAGTCATGTGCTTGCACTGATAACAAACTGTCACATTGAGGTTCTGACCTATGAAGACAACATAGTTTACACTTACCAACAACAAGCTTGACAGAAGATTCGCTATTCAGAGTGGGAATGAAACATCTGTATGTCCCCTCATCAGAGAGTTTTACTTTGTAGAGTCTCAATGAAATGTCTCCATGTTTCAGTTTGTTGATGGACAATGACCCCCTTCCTACATAGGACGGATGTTTTTTAGCCTCGAGTTCCACACCATCACGCCACACATGGACAAATCTAGGACTCAGGTCAGGTCTGGTCCACTCTACAGTTTGGTCGGTGACATCCACAGCAGGTTCCAGGCGGCATGGTAACATGATGTCATCACCAACTGCTGCCACGATTGGCTGCGATGGACCGAGCATCTGAGACTGACCTAAAAAAAGTGCACGTAGCACAAATTGATGTCTTTAAATCAGGATAAAAATATAAATTATAAAATGAATTAAAAAGTTCAGAGGATCTCTTTGATTTGTATGAAATTTATTTGTCTACGGAAATGATACAAATTACATTTCAAAACTGGGAGCATTTGAACCCCCAGTACGGTGGAGTATGATTTGTGTTGTGCAATGCCCAGTTTTTTGCATTTTTAGCGTTTAGGTTGATTGAATGTAACTTTCAGGGTATGTTTCAGACACAAATTAGTCTGGGGACAAAATGTTTAGTAGTGTTAGCAGTTGAGAAATTTGAGTTTTGAAAGGCGTTACTGACATCTTTACCTCCGCAACATTGTGTTAGGAAAAGGAAGACAGCCGTCTGATGGAAAACCAAAGAGCAGATGGCACCGAGTCGAGGTTTAGATGGCCATCCATCCTTCAGGTAAAGCATCCTCGAGTTTTTAAAAGTTTAAGAAGGTTAATCCCTTGAATGGACACATACATATTACTTGTATTTATGCAAAATAACTACATAATACTAAAAGACTAAACATATATCTAATTCTGTTATAGTGATAATTGTTTTTTGTCACATATCAGACTGTTGTTACTTTGTAATGTGCCTCGGTTTTAACTCTTAAAATAGATTTGAGGCAACCAAAATATCACCGTACAAGGATTCACTGGATTTGGGTTAGTTTAATCATTTGAATTAGCTTTTGGTTTATTCCCAAGAAGATATAGGTAAGAAAAAAACATTTTTGTGTCAAATATGCTACTACAATATGCAGATCAGATCAAAACTTTTATATTCCATAACATGTACTCAGTTGCACACTTTAAAAAAATGACTTTTACTGTCATGTGTCGTAAATCTGCCTCTTCTTGAGGAATTTAAACAAACAATAATGGCGTTCCATTAATTATATTGAATTAAAAGTTCAACATTGTTTCAGCCTACCTGCTGTGTGGTTCCGACTGTCACCTCATCCTGTGATCAATGACAGTGATCGGTCAAAGTCCAGGAGAATCACATGCTTTACATCATCCACTCTGTTAATCTGTAAGCAGAGTTTTACATGATACAACTCGGTTGCTTTGACTTTTGGATACAGTCACAGCACAGAACTAATTAATTTAATATTTAACATGAATATAATTGACAAATTATAATAACTTTGAACTGAATGGTATAGAATAAACTGTTGTTGGGGAATATAAACATAAACATCACATTGACAGAACAAAGATCTCTCCGTTGTGTAGACAGAGCATTCATCCCCCTGGTGTACACAGTCTACACTCTCATAGTGTGTTGACCACATTAACTGCATCTTGGATAGAAGAATGTTAGCTTTGTCGGGCATTAGCCAAGAGGTGGAAAACAAAACAAAAACAAGCAATAAAACAAACATCTGGCCACCACTTAACAACAATAAAACCAGTGAAAGATACGAGGCTAACTAACAAAATGAACATGGTAAGCATTATAGCTGCTGCATATCAGCATCAGCATGCTCTGTGCATACAGCCTCACAGAGCTGCTGGCATGGCTGTAGACTCTTCGTCTTGTTCGGGCCTCGCTGACTATATTTTTATCTCTATTTCGACAAGAGGTACTACTCATTAAGTCTACCCTGTTCTTTGGCTCCACCCTCTGATATTTAACTCAACCACTGAGGTTATTTCTACCACCACAGCAGCTCTGTCTCTAAGAAGACCACTCTTTAGTCAGCAGCAAGACGCCATGGAGGCCACATCGCTCTCCATCGCACTGTGTGAGTACTGACTCTGTCTCCATTTCCTGGGACATTTACACAATCCAACTTCTTGGTGACATCTCAGATCACAAATTTGTTGTTTTTCATTCAATTTTAGATGATGCATCTAACAGTAGCCTGATCCTTTATTCTCTGTTTCCCTAGAAGTTCATGTATGATCAGGAAGACAAAGATATGTAGCATTTATATGCTCTGTCATATTTAGCTCTTTTCCTTTGTCTCTTCAGTGATGACTGTGTGTATGCAGCTGGGTGCACATACTGAGGTTGGTAAGTAGCTTTGTTTTTTGGGATACAAAACTTAAAAAAATGTTTTTAAAGGACACAACAGTTTATTTAAGTCAGCAGCACATTTCTTGACGTCATCTTTTTCTCTGTGTGGTTTTTGGGCTCAGATCCAGCTTTTTGGATCATTCCAACCAGGCTGCAACTCTTTGAATATGAATCTCTCTCTTTTAAATGTTCGGGCTTCGATGGTTTGACCGGATGGAACATTTTACGGAAGATCAAGGCAGAAATTGCGCCCTGTGATTCAGAGAAGTGGGGTGTGTCTACCGAGTCGTCCTGCAGCATTAGAGGGGCTTTTCCAGACGACAGTGGAGAGTACTGGTGTGAGGCTGAAGGGGGCAACAGAAGCAACTCTGTAAACATCAATGTCACTGGTATGTCTGCACTGCAACAGAGATCTGTCCGAACTTACGTTTAATATTAAATACATTTCAAACCCTTGTTGTTCAGGTGGTCTTGTGATCCTGGAGAGTCCTGTACTTCCGGTGATGAAGGGTGACGCTGTGACTCTGCGCTGCAGAACCAAGACTTCCTCCAACCTCATAGCTGATTTCTATAAAGATGGCCTCCTCATTGGGAGCAGCTTCACAAAAGAGACAACTATCTACAGCGTTTCAGAGTCTGATGAAGGACTCTACAAGTGCATAATCTCTGATGTTGGAGAATCGCCAGAGAGCTGGTTGACTGTCAGAGGTGAGACACTGAAGAGTTTCTATAAATTAAAATGGTATTTTGTGTGGTATTTTTTGTGCTGTACGGTTTGATGCACAGCAGATTAAAGGAGCAGGTTTGTCTTAAAGGAGGTATCATTTATTTAATTTAACCCTTTAAATAGAAAACACTGGGCCTTGGACTGCAGACCAGGTTTTTGTTGGTCAGTGGCGCAATGGCTCTTCAAGAAAGCAATGCATCAATGATGTGTCTGACCACACTTCATTTTTATACCAACATGCCCATTAACATACAGATGGGAACAAGTACAGCTTCTACTTACACAAAGTGGGCACAGGGGTTGAAAATGACAACTGCACTGGTCAGAAATTAGCAATGCTCTCTGCGTCACAATACCCCGGTGTGAGATAGGGCCCAACATACAGTGTGGAGAGGCTCCATTCATCAGGCACTATACACTCAGGTTTTGAGTGCTGTTTCTTATTTGTCCTTCTGTTTGAATTTGTCTGCAAATCATATCGATGTGCATTGTTCTATGCAGTCTCCCATACAGACGACCAGCCGACCACATCAAGGTCGTGACCACTTGTTAGTTTTGTTGTCCAATTTAAAACATTTACTGGAGAATCAAAAAACCATTAAATCATTTTCATTATTTATGACATTTTAACAGGGTGACTTATAATCTGTAACAGAGTACATATAAAAAGTAGCTGTCCCAATGTAGACCATCTAACACATTGAGTCACCACTGTGTCTTTACAGAGCTTCACACAGAGACTCATCCTTCCTCGGATCGAATGCTCTTCATCCTCAGAACCATTTTCCTCATCGTGCTGATGGCTGCGCTGCTGATGCTGCTGGGACTACTTCACTGTGGGAAATTTGGAGGTAAACAACAATAACTCATGTGAACTCTGATAAGAATGTAACTGCCATAATACAGAATACAATGAGGTCAACAAAAAAACAATGACGAGGACATAATGAAGCAGTTAACATCCCATCATGCTTTAACTGGGTGCTCAACATCCTTGTTGTTGATCGTTGCATGTTTTATATGTATACATTTGGTCTGCAGTCCCATTTATATTTGCAAATGGTGTACATTATTTCACATCAGAAATAACTAAATGAACTGATGTTTTTCAGGGTCTAGAAGCAGATGTGTCAGCTGCTGTGACCGTATCAACAAGTGAAGGTTCTCACCAGTCAAGCCGCAGCTTGTCTACATTTAACAATCCACTGTGACCATAGCTGACACACCGTCTGCAGAGTGACCACAGCATCTCTGCGCCGCTATAAACAGACTCTGTAGACACACACGTGCAATGTCTCACGCAATGATCAGATCAAGTCTCACTTTTGGCTTTTATTTTCTACCTACAAGTCAAACAATTATAACCATATCATTACCATATTCTGTTGTATATATATAATATCAGCCACGTGTATGTCTGTGTGTAACTGTATACCTTTATTGAAATATGCACAATAAACATTCTGTCTGAGAAAAACAGTTTATCGTCCTTTTAGCCTATCATCCCTCCTGTGAAACACTTTTAAGGGACAATGACTGACAAGTTGTATGTTCCATGATGGTCATGGATGGTGGCCCTGAACAGAAACCATAACCACCATGGAACGTACATAAGGGTACATAGTAAACATTGTACCTGCCAAACGTGAGCATGTTAGCATGCTGAAGTTAGCATTTAGCTTTAAGTACAGAGCTGCTAGCATGGCTGTAAACTGTAAGAAAAAGTCATTCAGCTTATATTTTTATCTTTTATATATTGACCACAGGTTCTTGTCCTTTGTCTGTCCTGTTGTTTGGCTCCACCCTCTGATATTGAACTTAACCACTGAGGCTGTTTGAGGCTACCACCACAGCAGCTCTGTGCTTTAGACTGAAAAACTTTCTCAGAGACAAACTCAATAACAGAAACCGTTTACACAGGAAGAGACTCTTCTTCATCTTCATTACACCTCAGTCTGATGTTCAGACAGTCAGCATCAAGACGACATGGAGGTCACAGCTCTCTGCATCAGACTGTGTGAGTACGGATGAAGAGGAGGTTAAAGTTCAAGTTGTTTAAAAAGCTTTGAGAGTTGATAGATAGATACTTTATTTATCCCGAGGGAAATTCAAGTATGTTTTCAGCCAAAGTGTATTTTTAACAGACAACATGCTAACCTTTAACAGTAGCTGTTCTAGGAATGGATGAAGCACATAGAAGATATGAACGTTGTCTCTTTTCTTTTGTCTCTCCAGTGATGAATGTGTTATTCCTGCTGTGTGCACTTTATCAGGAAGTTGGTAAGGACCAGTTAGAGTTCATCATATTCATACATTATTTAGCTGTAAAGTGTTTGTGTGGTAGAGTATTAAAGAAAAGAAGGAAGTCGGAAAATATCTTCTGTTGTCATTTTAGTGAATTTTAGAATTATATTCCAGTGATCTGAGAACAGAAGTCTTTATTTTTCTTTCTTTCAGATTCAGTGTCTCTTCGTGTCGACCCAAACAAACTGCAGTTCTTTGAATATGAGCCTCTAACTTTCCATTGTGAGGGGTTCAGTGGCTCAACTGGATGGAAATTTGTCCATCTGTCCAAAGGGGAACTTCCCTCGTGTAGATCTAATAGTAAGGTGACATCAACAGGGTCATCTTGTTCTATTCTAAATGTTTATCCAGAGGAAAGTGGAGAGTACTGGTGTGAGGATGGAGAGAGGAAGAGAAGCAACAGCATCAACATCACTGTCACTGGTACGTTTGTATTAAGATTCTTTAATAAATTCATGATGAGAATATGAAGTAAATATCAAACACATGTTCTTCAGCTGGTTCTGTGATCCTGGAGAGTCCTGCCCTTCCTGTGATGGAGGGAAAAACTGTAACTCTGAGCTGCAGAAACAAGACGACTTCCTCCAACCTCACAGCTGATTTCTATAAAGATGGCCTCCTCATGGGCAGCAGCTGTACTGGAAACAAGACCATCCACAGTGTTTCCAGGTATGATGAAGGATTCTACAAGTGCAGAATCTCTGGAGCTGGAGAATCAGCAGAGAGCTGGTTGGCTGTCAGAGGTGAGATACTGAAGGATTTAAACACATTCAAATTATATTTGTTTTAAATCTGATTGTTTGATGCTCAGCAGATTAAAAGCTCTTTCTAAACCTCATACTCAGGATGTCCCTATCAAGTTTTTGTGCCACCGATCCGAGTCCTTTAATACTGAGTTTCTGTTGATACCATGTCCCGATCTAATACTGTTTGGCCTTGTCACTGTGTCCCTTTACAAATGTGCTGCAGTGTTTGGTGCTTTGGTACAGACTTTACCTGAGTTACCAAATGAACCTTATTCTGTTGAGTGTTTATGTTCGTCTGTACATGTTCACAGGGCTTATTTTGCACTTGCATTGGTCAGTGTGGTTTCTGTCAGCTCTCCACATCTGTCTGTCTCAGGGGCTGGGCCCGCCCGCTGTGAAACACCAGGCACCATATATGACAGCAAAAGGCAAGAGACTTCCACACTTAGTCCATATAACCACTCTCATACTGCGTTTTGCTGTCCTGTATGGTGTGTGGCGTTCTGGTGCTGCAGGACTCAATCCTTGCTGTTACACTCACGGTGGTCAGCAGAGCAGAGGAGAGATGGACAGCCCAGAGTTTAGGTGTTGACAACGGCTGCGCTGTGCATGAAAGCTCTGGGAGTAAAAGACACCTGACAGCTGATGTAAGACAAAGGACTGGATCAGGTCAATAAAGCTCAGTATAGCCGATGAACTTTGCGAGGCAGCTGGACTCATAAGATCAAACGAGAATCCATCTTGCCAGGTTTCAATCGATGAGTTTGTCATTGGTGTAATGGTTTTAATGTTTTTAGTTGTTTTAATTTGGGTCTTTTTGAACTATATTCTAGTATTTTGTACAAGATTTGAGAACAAATCTGTTTTTTTCCTTGTTTCAGATTCAGTGTCTCTTCATGTCGTCCCAAACAGAGTGCAGTTCTTTGAAAATGAGTCTCTAACTTTCCATTGTGAGGGGTTCAGTGGCTCAGCTGGATGGAAACTTGTACATCAGTTAAAAGGGGAACTGATCACTTGTAGACCTTTTAGCAAGGAGACAACGTGGTCATCCTGCACCATTACAAATGTTTATCCAGACAGTGGAGAGTACTGGTGTGAGACTGGAGAGGGGGAGAGAAGCAACAGCATCCACATCAATGTCACTGGTGGGTTTGTATTAAGACGGCAATATTCTTTAATAAATTCATAGAGAATATGAAGTAAATATCAAACACATGTTCTTCAGCTGGTTCTGTGATCCTGGAGAGTCCTGCCCTTCCTGTGATGGAGGGTAACAATGTGACTCTGAGCTGCAGAAACAAGACGACTTCCTCCAACCTCAAAGCTGATTTCTATAAAGATGGCCTCCTCATGGGCAGAAGCTCTACAGGAGAGATGATCATCCACAGTGTTTCCAAGTCTGATGAAGGACTCTACAAGTGTAAGATCTCTGGAGCTGGAGAATCAGCAGAGAGCTGGTTGGCTGTCAGAGGTGAGATACTGAAGGATTTCAACACATTTAAATTCTATTTTGTTTTAAGTCTGATTGTTTGATGCTCAGCAGATTAACAGCTCATACTAGGGATGTCCCCATCAAGTTTTTGTGCCACTGATGAGTCCTGTAACATTAAATTCCTGCCAATGCCAGGTCCCAATCCAATACTATGTTCCTAGATAATACAGGTGTACAGTTCAAGTACATTCAAGTTAATAAAATCAATCCTGTTCACAGGACAACTGAACCGCTCTGCAGTTCATCAAGAAAAAAAATGCATCAAAGCTTCTTTTTTTTTTTTTTTTTTTACAAAAGAAGAATAAATTAACAATCCCTCTCTGTAATACTGTTTGGCCTTGTCACTGTTTCCCTTTACAAGTGTGCTGCAGTGTTTGGTGCTTTGGTGCGGACTTTACCTGAGTTACCAAATGAACCTTATTCCACTGAGTGTTTATGTTCATCGTCTGTACATGTTCACAGGGATTTTTATGCACTTGCATTGGTCAGTATGGTTTCTGTCTGTCTCTCCACAACTGTCTGTCTCTCCACTGAGCAGGGGCTGGGCCCGCCTGCTGTAAAACACCACACAGCATATATGACAGCAAAAAGAAAGAGACTTCCACACTTAGCTGAAATGAAACAAAGACATAACAACTCTTTACTGCATTACACAATTTCAAGCTGTGTAGACAATGAATTACTATAAAGCACATCTAGCAATCAGCAGGGAAACAATAACTATTTATTTGATTTTATTCTAATCTTAAGATAACAAAATATAAAATCTAACACACAGGGTCATCACTGTGTCTCATGACATCACATGATATACTTTCTGTTGTCTCTGCAGCCCTTCACACAAAGAGTGATCCTCCCTCAGATCATCCTTCCTCAGATCAAATATTCTTCATCTTCAGAACCATTGTCCCCATTGTGCTGATGGTTATGCTGCTGATGCTGCTGGGACTTCTTCACTGTGGGAAACTCGGAGGTAAACAACTATAACTCATGTCCATGTACCTGCATCATAAAGAATACAGCGGGGTGAACGACAAAACGAGAAGATAGTGAAGCAGTTATCATCCCATCATGCTTCATCTGGAAGCTCAACATCCTCCTCATTCACCATTGCATGTTTCATTGTCCATGTTGTTTTATATGTATGTATTTGATGTCATGTCCCATTAATAGTTAGTGCATATTGTGCTTGCACATGGTCATATTGACTGTTTTGCATCAGTAATGACAGAATTTACAAAAGGAATATAAATTTGTGAAGGCAGTATGTTTGATAGAATGATGTTAATTGAATCTCCTGCTGCTCTAAGACATATTATTATTGATTCATTGATTCATGGATGTTTCTCAGGGTGCAGAAGCAGATGTGCAACGTGCTGCGACTGTACCAAGAAGTGAAGATTCTCACCAGTCCAATGAAGACAGTCAGCAAACTGCAGCTTTTTTTTTTTTTCTCACGACTGTCTACACTTTGACCATAACTCAGACGAAGCGTCTGCAGAGTGACAGCAGCATCTCTACACCTCTGTATGCACACACTCTCTGGCTGTGTGGGGACACACGTGTGAAATGTGTCACGCAATAATGTGCATTAATCTCAGGGCATCAAGTCTCACTTTCTGCTTGTATTTTCTGACTGTAAAATAAAACTAAAGTATAAACAATGTTGGTGGATGACTTTGGTCCAGACTGAAGACAGTGACTCATAATGACTTTGGTGAATCTCTGACTTTCCCTCTAGCTCCACCAGCAGGTCAAAGTTTCCTCTTCTCAATATATCTCAACAACCACTAGATGGATTGTAACAAAACTGTGAACATACACTCATCATTCACACACAATGAATCTTAATGACTTCATAAACACTCTTAATTTCCCTCTAGTATCACCATGAGGTTGACATATTCTTTTATTATAACTAATGACAGCTGTAGGCTACTTTGGGTTGAGTGCTAATGATCATGTGTGAGTAAGATGGCGTACACAGTAAACATTGTAGCTGCTGAATATCAGCATGTTAGCATCGTCACTGTGAGCATATTAGCGTGCTGAAGTGAGCATATTTCAGTTTATATTTGTATCTTTTTTCACATTTTGACCACAGGTTCTTCTTCTGTTTAAGTCTGTCCTGTTGTTTGGCTCCACCGTTTGATATTGAACTTAACCACTGAGGCTATTTCTACCACCACAGCAGCTCTGTCTGTCTGTCTGTCTGTGAGAAAAGGTTTTCACTGTCAAGTACAGAATTAGTGTTGCATCAACAGCAGAAACCGTTTACACAGGAAGAGACTCTTCTTCATCTTCATTCAACCTCAGTCTGATGTTCAGACAGTCAGCAGCAAGACGACATGGAGGTCACAGCTCTCTGCATCAGACTGAGTGAGTACGGACTCTGTTTGATAAAAACTAAATGACGAGGTGGTTGAAGTTCATAAGGCTGTTTAAAAACCTTTAAAGGCTTTCAGCTGAAGTGTATTTTAACAGACAACCTGCTAACCTTTAATAGTAGCTGTTCTAGGAATGGATGAAGCACATAGAAGATATGAACATTGTCTCTTTTCTTTTGTCTCTCCAGTGATGAATGTGTTATTCCTGCTGGGTGCACTTCATCAGGAAGTTGGTAAGGACCAGTTATAGTTCATCCTTTTTTGGGGCGGGAAGTGTTTGTATGTTAGAGTATTAAAGAAAAGAAAGAAGTAGGAAAATGTATTTTGTTGTGATTTTAGTGAACTGACCCTCGTCAAGTAAGAAATTAAAGTTTGTAGTAATGGAACAGCAGTAGCCTTTATACTTTCATATATACATAGATATTCATTTGTTTTAGTTAGGTTGTATTATTATTGTGCCTTGCATAAGCGATCACAATACTACTATTCCCCGTGCTTATTATTCTTCTTCCGTACGTTTTTCGGCGCGCTACTCCTCCCGCAGTTTTTGTCGCACGTACACAAAAAAGGTATCAAAACGTGCGGCTCGGTGAGGACATTAGTGCTATGACTTTTCTAAGCGTTTCGCCAAACGGTTTGCCGACAAATCGCCAAAAACCGGTCCAAAAAATGAATGGGTGTGTATTGCGAGAACCTTCAACTGCCAGAGTGCGTGACATCATCGCTAGAGTGTGGGGAGACAGAAAAAATTGTAGAAAAATAAATTTGTAAACTGCTCTCAAGGCCACAAATGTCACTCTACAGAAATAATTTATAGATAGAAACGTAGGTAAATCCGTTGGGGTCGCAGTGATACCACTGCTGAAGCTGTCAGAGAAATAGTTTTGGCAGGAGACGCACTGATGCGCCAGCAACACCCTCTCACGGCCCCATCTACTCCCATGTTAATTTTAGAGAAGAAATGTTTAAAGGAGCTCGTTGAACCTCTTCTCTCTCAATCTCCCCAGGTCACATTTTTTAACTTTAACCACTGAAACTCGGCAGTGCTATAGTCAACAAGATGACGACGCTCACGGTCTTTTCGGTTTTCATTTCGGTCGTTCCTGGCCATGGGTTCGAGGGGATTCATTTTAAATGTTTTCTGTCTCTCTGAGGAGTTAGAGACAGAGAGAGAGCGCGCGCAGCTGCTGTGGGCTCCCCTGATTGCCATGACAACCAAAGCCTGCTCACACACACACACACACACACACACACACACACACACACACACACAGCTAGCTACAGAGGCTAACAAGGCATTAATAAGCTAGCGCTAGCTAGCTAGCTAAAGAGAATTAGAAGGTATTAGAAGGCTAGCTAATTAATTAAAATGCTAATTAATTAAAATGCTTTGCTTGCTAGAGAGGATAAGCTACTAATGTGCTAGCACTCGCTAGCTAGAGAGGACAAAGGATTACTGTGCTAATTAAACGTCACAAAAGACACTGAAATTCTTAATTAGCATCTATTTCAACTTGTTACACATTACACAAGTAATACAGATTCACTAATGTAATAAAACATCAAGTTAGATTTATTTTGTGAGGAAGAAGACACTCAGACTTTAACTGCACCATTGCTTTCAGGCTGAGGGTGGTGTTTCAAAATAAAAGTCTACAACATTCATTGTATGTTAACAGGTAGAGGGGTCTGGTGGACACTTTATTAAAACTTTAAAAAACCTACACTGCCTATGACTGCACATTAAGAATAGTTTTCTTTCATAATTATATATTACTTATTAATATAAATATTGTTATCAGTGTTATTGATACTGTTATTATTATTATTATTATTATTATTATTATTATAACTACATACTTATTATTCCCATCATTGTGGTTATTACTTATTTAGTTACTTTACCTATTTTAATTAAACCATGACGCTTCCTGCATAATCCCAGGACAATATTATGCCAAACTCCATTTAAGAAATACCATATATTAACAATTATTTGCGCTTACATAAAATCACATAACTGTAGAAACACAAGAAAAAAAACTCATCATATCTCAACAGTCTTCTTGTTAATTCGGCATCAATATAATACATAAATACGAACTTTTTTGCCGACTTTGTCGCGTCAACTGCTGCTATTTCCATTTGTTCTCTCAAATGAACACACACATGTTGAAAGCTTCATTTGTCACATACCTAAGCAATGGTAGAGGTCACATACTGTAAACTACTCGGCAGTGTCAGTAATGTATGGGCCAGTGTCACGGGCCAGAGCAAGGCACAATCAAAATTTCTTTAGGAATTTTCTAGTTTTAGAATTATATTCCAGTGATCTGAGAACAAATGTCTTTATTTGTCTTTCTTTCAGATTCAGTGTCTCTTCGTGTCGACCCAAACAGACTGCAGTTCTTTGAATATGAGACTCTAACTTTCCATTGTGAGGGGTTCAGTGGCTCAACTGGATGGAAACTTGTACGTCAGTTCAGAGGGGGATTTCCCTCTTGTAAATCTAATAGTAAGGTGACATCAACAGGGTCATCTTGTACTATTAGAAATATTTATCCAGATGACAGTGGAGAGTACTGGTGTGAGGATGGAGAGAGGAAGAGAAGCAACAGCATCAACATCACTGTCACTGGTACGTTTGTATTAAGATTCTTTAATAAATTCATGATGAGAATATGAAGTAAATATCAAACACATGTTCTTCAGCTGGTTCTGTGATCCTGGAGAGTCCTGCCCTTCCTGTGATGGAGGGAAAAACTGTGACTCTGAGCTGCAGAAACAAGACGACTTCCTCCAACCTCACAGCTGGTTTCTATAAAGATGGCCTCCTCATGGGCAGCAGCTCTACAGGAGAGATGATCATCCACAGTGTTTCCAAGTCTGATGAAGGACTCTACAAGTGTAAGATCTCTGGAGCTGGAGAATCAGCAGAGAGCTGGTTGGCTGTCAGAAGTGAGTTACTGAAGGATTTCAACACATTTAAATTCTATTTTGTTTTAAGTCTGATTGTTTGATGCTCAGCAGATTAACAGCTCATACTAGGGATGTCCCATCAAGTTTTTGTGCCACTGATCTGAGTCCTGTAACATTAAATTCCTGCCAATGCCAGGTCCCAATCCAATACTATGTTCCTAGATAATACAGGTGTACAGTTTAAGTACATTCAAGTTATTAAAATCAATCCTGTTCACAGGACAACTGAACAGCTCTGCAGTTCATCAAGAAAAAATGCATCCAAGCTGTTCTGAAATAGTTTTATTTATTATTTTACAAAATAAAGTATAAATTAACAATCCCTCTCTGTAATACTGTTTGGCCTTGTCACTGTGTCCCTTTACAAGTGTGCTGCAGTGTTTGGTGCTTTGGTGCAGACTTTACCTGAGTTACCAAATGAACCTTATTCCACTGAGTGTTTATGTTCATCGTCTGTACATGTTCACAGGGATTTTTATGCACTTGCAGTGGTCAGTATGGTTTCTGTCTGTCTCTCCACAACTGTCTGTCTCTCCACTGAGCAGGGGCTGGGCCCGCCTGCTGTAAAACACCACACAGCATATATGACAGCAAAAAGAAAGAGACTTCCACACTTAGCTGAAATAAAACAAAGACATATAACCACTCTCATACTGCATTTAGCGCATTGACTGCATAACACGCTTTGTAGACAATGAAGAAGTATAAAGTGTATCTAGCAATCAGCAGGAAAACAATAACTATTTATTTGATTTTATTCTAATTTTAAGAAGAACAAAATATAAAATCTAACACACAGGGTCACCACTGTGTCTCATGACATCACATTATATACTTTCTGTTGTCTCTGCAGCCCTTCACACAGACAGTGATCCCCCTCAGATCATCCTCCCTCAGATCATCCTTCCTCAGATCAAATGCTCTTCATCTTCAGAACCATTGTCCCCATTGTGCTGATGGTTATGCTGCTGATGCTGCTGGGACTTCTTCACTGTGGGAAACTCGGAGGTAAACAACTATAACTCATGTCCATGTACCTGCATCATAAAGAATACAGCGGGGTGAACGACAAAACGAGAAGATAGTGAAGCAGTTATCATCCCATCATGCTTCATCTGGAAGCTCAACATCCTCCTCATTCACCATTGCATGTTTCATTGTCCATGTTGTTTTATATGTATGTATTTGATGTCATGTCCCATTAATAGTTAGTGCATATTGTGCTTGCACATGGTCATATTGACTGTTTGCATCAGTAATGACAGAATTTACAAAAGGAATATACATTTGTGAACGCAGTATGTTTGATAGAATGATGTTAATTGAATCTCCTGCTGCTCTAAGACATATTATTATTGATTCATTGATTCATGGATGTTTCTCAGGGTGCAGAAGCAGATGTGCCACGTGCTGCGACTGTACCAAGAAGTGAAGATTCTCACCAGTCCAATGAAGACAGTCAGCAAACTGCAGCTTTTTTTTTTTCTCACGACTGTCTACACTTTGACCATAACTCAGACGAAGCGTCTGCAGAGTGACAGCAGCATCTCTACACCTCTGTATGCACACACTCTCTGGCTGTGTGGGGACACACGTGTGAAATGTGTCACGCAATAATGTGCATTAATCTCAGGGCATCAAGTCTCACTTTCTGCTTGTATTTTCTGACTGTAAAATAAAAATAAAGTATAAACAATGTTGGTGGATGACTTTGGTCCAGACTGAAGACAGTGACTCATAATGACTTTGGTGAATCTCTGACTTTCCCTCTAGCTCCACCAGCAGGTCAAAGTTTCCTCTTCTCAATATATCTCAACAACCACTAGATGGATTGTAACAAAACTGTGAACATACACTCATCATTCACACACAATGAATCTTAATGACTTCATAAACACTCTTAATTTCCCTCTAGTATCACCATGAGGTTGACATATTCTTTTATTATAACTAATGACAGCTGTAGGCTGCTTTGGGTTGAGTGCTAATGATCATGTGTGAGTAAGATGGCGTACACAGTAAGCATTGTAGCATCACTGTGAGCATATTAGCGTGCTGAAGTGAGCATATTTCAGTTTATATTTGTATCTTTTTTCACATTTTGACCACAGGTTCTTCTTCTGTTTAAGTCTGTCCTGTTGTTTGGCTCCACCCTCTGATATTGAACTTAACCACTGAGGCTATTTCTACCACCACAGCACCTCTGTCTGTCTGTCTGTGAGAAAAGGTTTTCAGTGTCAAGTACAGAATTAGTGTTGCATCAACAGCAGAAACCGTTTACACAGGAAGAGACTCTTCTTCATCTTCATTCAACCTCAGTCTGATGTTCAGACAGTCAGCAGTAAGACGACATGGAGGTCACAGCTCTCTGCATCAGACTGAGTGAGTACGGACTCTGTTTGATAAAAACTAAATGACGAGGTGGTTGAAGTTCATAAGGCTGTTTAAAAACCTTTAAAGGCTTTCAGCTGAAGTGTATTTTAACAGACAACCTGCTAACCTTTAATAGTAGCTGTTCTAGGAATGGATGAAGCATTTAGAAGATATGAACATTGTCTCTTTTCTTTTGTCTCTCCAGTGATGAATGTGTTATTCCTGCTGGGTGCACTTCATCAGGAAGCTGGTAAGGACCAGTTAGAGTTCATCCTATTTTACATTATTTGGGCGGGAAGTGTTTGTATGTTAGAGTATTAAAGAAAAGAAAGAAGTAGGAAAATATATTTTGTTGTGATTTTAGTGAACTGACCCTCGTCAAGCAAGAAATTAAAGTTTGTAGTAATGGAACAGCAATAGCCTTTATACTTTCATATGTACATAGATATTCATTTGTTTTAGTTAGGTTGTATTATTTTAGAATTATATTCCAGTGATCTGAGAACAAATGTCTTTATTTGTCTTTCTTTCAGATTCAGTGTCTCTTCGTGTCGACCCAAACAAACTGCAGTTCTTTGAATATGAGCCTCTAACTTTCCATTGTGAGGGGTTCAGTGGCTCAACTGGATGGAAATTTGTACGTCAGTCCAAAGGGGAAGTTCCCTCGTGTAAATCTAATAGTAAGGTGACATCAACAGGGTCATCTTGTACTATTATAAATGTTTATCCAGATGACAGTGGAGAGTACTGGTGTGAGGATGGAGAGAGGAAGAGAAGCAACAGCATCAACATCACTGTCACTGGTACGTTTGTATTAAGATCACAAGATTTTGTTATTAACTTATTACATGAAGTAATTATCAAACACATGTTCTTCAGCTGGTTCTGTGATCCTGGAGAGTCCTGCCCTTCCTGTGATGGAGGGAAAAACTGTGACTCTGAGCTGCAGAAACAAGACGACTTCCTCCAACCTCACAGCTGGTTTCTATAAAGATGGCCTCCTCATGGGCAGCAGCTCTACAGGAGAGATGATCATCCACAGTGTTTCCAGGTCTGATGAAGGACTCTACAAGTGTAAGATCTCTGGAGCTGGAGAATCAGCAGAGAGCTGGTTGGCTGTCAGAGGTGAGTTACTGCAAGGATTTCAGCACATTTAAATTCTATTTTGTTTTAAGTCTGATTGTTTGATGCTCAGCAGATTAACAGCTCATACTAGGGATGTCCCCATAACTTTTGTGCCACTGATCTGAGTCCTGTAACATTAAATTCCTGCCAATACCAGGTCCCAATCCAATACTATGTTCCTAGATACTACAGGTGTACAGTTCAAGTACATCAAATTAACTCTCTGCTGATTCTCAGCTCAGAGATCTTACTCGGAGCTGGAGAATCAGCAGAGTAAAGACACACAATGTTATAATTATTAATTAATTTCTATATATAATAAAATGATAATTGTATACATACTTGTGATAGAAATGACTGCTGTAGCTCCACAGAGCTGAAGCAAAGTCGTTGAATCTGTTCGTTAATAATCCTGTTAAACTATTGTCAGACTGTGGACATTCTGCAAAGCTTCAATGGCTGATATTAGTTTCTGAAACCAATGCTTTGAATGCTCAAGGTATTTTAGAAGTTCATACATGAAGTTTTGTAACACTGCATCATTCTCTTCTTATTTTCACTTTTGAATCTTTTCAAACCAATATCAAAACAAACGTTGAACCATCTAATGTCTCATGAAATTACAGCACATTCTAAGTTACTGAAGACTACCTACTCTGATTCTAAAAGCCCAAACCCCCTACATCCTCCACTCCTACATCCTCCAGTTCCACCCCATGGGTCGTTGTTACTGTTCTACTGCTGGTTCTGCTGCTGGTGGTGGGACTACTTCACCTTCACCGTCATTGGCACAGAGGTACAGATACATTTCACTAACTTTGTTTCTAGAACTCATAGCTATTACTGTGTAGCACTCTTCCTAGGTGTTGATGTAGTGTCTGTAGTTGGTGCTCTTTTATATCCCAGTTGGGTCATGGATTACTCCTTTTAACAACCCAGTTCTGCTCCTTTAAACATGTCACATTTATTTCTGCAGAAAAGTGCTAGTCGCTTTAATTTGCATCATTAAGTGTTTTTATTCTACTATATGTAAATTGAAAACTAATAAGATTTGGGAGCTAAAACCAACAATAATCAGTGTTGTGCCTGAAGGGCCGCCCACACCATCACTGGTAACTATAACAGTAACTATAAATATATCTTTTTAAAAATCTTTGGATCATCATTGGGTTAAATTCCAGAGTGATTTGATAAACAATGTTGTGGTATACAACTTAATAAATGCTTATATAACGTATTTTAGGCTCCAAGTAACAAAAAAACGTCAATTTTACAAGAGACATACTGTCAGTCTTAAGCACTGATGGGGTCTCTGAAGTCCTTAATGATGTCCTCTTTTTTTTCAAAACTAAGTATGAATTAAGTTTATCTTCAAAAGACAACAACTAATCGTTCATCAGTGTGGACGCTCACATCATTATCGTTATTGTTCTTAGTGTTGAGGGTATGACACAGATCCCAACCAGAGAACTGTATTTTCATTGGTAAAGGGGGTTATTTTACTCTCCTGCTACTGTTTGGCATTTGGTTTGGTACACTAAAGGGAGAGGTGCAGTGTGGGGGTTGTTACTGGTAACCCAACAGGACATTTTGGCGAGCAAAATGGGGATTTACTCAGAGAAAAAACGCTCCGTAGCACTACTAGAGGTCAAAAACCCCACAGTTATGGATCTTATAAGATCAAACCCTTTCTTATGCCACAGTATTTTAGGACATAATAATCTTTTTTTCTGATTTTGAGAACAGTAGGTTATTTGTACCCTGACCAAACATAACAAACAGTTTACAACAGGAAGTTGCTATGTATTTGCCGTATCAGGACTAAAATATCTTTATCTTCTGTCCCTGGTTTTCTATTGCAGCAGTTATTTCCTGTACTGCAGTATTGGGCTACCTGTCCACAATTATACATGGATCAGACTCAGCTGAGGATCAAACAGGTGAGAACACAAACCAGGTATCAGTGTAATGCTGTAGGAGGGTAAGATAATTAGCCTGCCTTCCTTAATTAGGAGTTTTATTTAGAGAGCACTGTTACAATCCCCGGGCCCCAAGGTGCTTCACAGAAGGAGGAAATTAAATTGGACCAACATGAAATTAAGTATAAAATCACGTCAGTGACCTCTGGAGCTTCCAGTTGTAATCATCATGTTAGGGATTATTGAGTTCTTTGTGGTGTGAAACAGGAAGACCTTTCCGATGATACGTATTAAAACAAACAACAAATGAGCCGACAGACAACATGAATTTCCTTAGCTTGGCGTAGCATTAAATGAAATACTCATATTCTGTCCGTGCATGCCGGTGTGCTTTTCAGTCTCTACTGTGGAGGCCAGTGCAGCTGATGCAGACACACCGACGTATGCTGTCGTAAGAAAAAAGAAGAAGAAAGGTACTTCACTTGGCAGTTTTTACTTACTCTTGTCAAGTACATGAAACCACATCAAACATGTTACTCAAAAGCATTTAGAGTAACACATCTACATTGTTTATAGATTTAATTGTGTAAAACAACTGCATAATACATGTATCAACACTATGCACATGAATGTTAACAACAGCAGTAGAAAAGTTAGTGCACCCTGCAGACATTTCCGTCTTTGTCACATGTGAAGCTGCTTGTAATAATTTGAGCTTCCTGGACTCCAACCACAGCAGAAAACCACAGAGAAAGCAGGTCTAAAGGGCCCCTCAGGGTGTTAGTAGAGCGGAGGTCACGAGTTGGCTTTATGCTGCACAGAAGAGCTGGAACTTGAGACATGCATTCAATTTAAAGTTCCTGTGTCATTCTTTATTTCTTAAACTTTAAAAGAACACACTGACTCTTTAATTTAAGGGGAGTTAAGTTAATCTCCTCCTGGCTCCAGGGCCCTATTTAACAGACCGATGTAGTATACGTGGTATTGATCTCCCAACATGTCAAACTTGCAGTTAAAAGCATTCAAGGGAAAAAAAACACTCTAACACTGTCTCTCTCTGTCAGATGAGGATGAATCGTTGTCAGGACCTGTTTACTACACCTTAGACCTGGATGAAACTCAACAACCAGGTGAGAGTTATTGTGATCAAAAAGCCATAAGAGTGCACACCACTGACTTAGTAATAAAGGAAGTGAAATAAGTGTTCTAGTAAGTGAATTTTTTGGGCAACATACTGACATAACTTCATATATATTTTCAAAGTCAAACCAGGAGCATCCAGCGTCACAGCGAGACATGGTCCCTCAACAGGTTCCAACCCACCTTTAACAGAGGAAGCCTTCTATTCTACAATCCAACCGGTAAGACTGAGAACAATACCTACCTTCTATGCTGCATTCACGTCATACGGGATGGACAGTATAAGGTGGAAAGATTGCTGTAGTTAAAGCTTTGTCAAGCGTTCACATGGTTAGACAACTCAGGACAGTTGTATGATTGCAGATTGGTACGATACATTATACACTATATAGGAATTTGGGTTTAATTGTATTAAATAATGCACCTTGGCTGACAATCGGCATGTAACATACATTTCTTCACCACCTTGAAATTTGTCTACATTTTATGTCATTTGTATTTGTTCTGTCCCTCCTGTCTGTCTTACAGGTTGCGAAGTGACAGCTCGCAGGAGGAGGAGTTTTGAGAGACGCGCTCACAGTTTCACTCACTGTACCTAAATTAGCAACACCAAGATACGAGTGAAGACAAGGAAGTGACCCAGTTACATTAAGTATTGTTATTGTAAGTGAACAAACTATATGAGGGGAAAGGACACTCTTTCAGACCCACACTGTATTCTGGTCATTTTTATACAAATAATGTGAAAGAAAAAATCTCCTTTAGGTGAGTGGTGTCATTTCTTTGTACATTACATGTGTGTAAATGTGTATGTTCATTTATAATCACAGTGAAACTGAGCTGTACAGACATGGTTATAAGTGGTCACGCAACCTTCAGTTAAACATCTGTGTCTTTTAGTAGTATCTTCTTATTATAGTCTAACAGTTAAACCAACTTGTTCCTTCTGCTATGTCCGTTCATGTGTGAGAGTTATCATCAGCATAGGGTGAGAATGCAGTTCACAAGAACAGACCACCAGCAGCTTTTAATACACTCACTGTGGTCAGCTGCTAACTTCATGCTGTTGCATCACTTTTATCTGAAGCAGATACACTGCGTTTGTGGTCAGTAACATAATAATGATGTGAACATAATAGAGTTCTGTCTCATAAAAGTCTAAAGGTAACTGCTTTTACAGTTTATAAAGGTCATGTTCCACACCTCCAAATGTATTCTTTGTTATTTTGTAATTATCTTGTCATTTTGACCAGGCTGAAGGGTTTAAAAGTTGGGCAATCGAAATAAACTGTATACAAATGACAAAGAAAAAGGTTTTTACTTTCACTTTTTGGCCGTTAAACCAGAAAGCGACACAGTGAAATTCATTGGCATGTCTTCATGAAATTTGTTGATCAAGAGGCTTGGTCTACCTGCAGGGTTCCCCAGGTGTTTGTCTCATTCTCTATTCTCTTTTTTTTTTTTCTTCAAACTTCTCTTTAAATGATAATGTACTATGTTTATAATTGATGATTTCAATATTGTTTCTTTGTTTTGTCCCTCATTTTGGTATGGCAGATAGGCCTAAATACTATACCTATAATAATGACCCTTGCCCTCTGGGAGACTAGGCCTACATGTTGTCCTGAAAAACGCCATTATTAGCCAATTGTTTCGAAACCCAGTAGTCCACCAGATTCAGAAAAAAAACGATGTCCAATGCTCCAATAGTCCGCTTTTACAAAATTACACTCTCCCTGGAGTGTTTTCTCCCTGAATATGCTAGTGTATTTGGACATGCAAGAAAGGACAAAGTCAGGTGACCTTTGATGTCATGCAAACAATAATAAACAATAATGTTGTTACCATCATGAAACTGTTGCTGTTTGGTTGGGTTTAGGCATCAGAACCACTTTTGTGTTGTGTTTAAGTATGTTCAAACAGTTAGTTGTTAAATTAACCCAAAATGTAAAAGTTGAATGTTTGAGACTGCAGATGATATATTTCCAGTTTCGTCAACACCGTAATCCACGAGCCTTTAGCAGCGCACGTCACCAAATTCTGAGCTCAAGGATTTGATTTTTCATGCTGAAATGTAATAGCTTCAACTTTTAATCATAGAGTCAGATATTTCATGATGCAGTTGATCAAATTCATTAACGGTGATTTATGTTTCATGCCTATCCAAGCCGTAGACGTGCTGACAATGGGTTTATGGGAAAAGTGAATGTGATTGGCTAAGCAGAGAGAGGGGAGGAACTATCATCACTGCAACTTGAATTTTGTTTCTTTATTCACATTCCCTCCCTGATTTCTTCCTGCTGCTTCTTCTTTCACACTCATCCGTCTCCATCTTCCTCTGCACCGTACAACTCTTGTTAGCAAGGTGGATCTTCTTCTTCTTGAATTTTATTAGCAGTTGCCAAACAAGAAAATTGAGTGTGGATCAGAATGTCTAATATTTAAATTATTGAAATAAAAAAAATCGTCATATCTTCTCATTATTATTGATTAGACTAAGATAGTAACATAGGATTGGAAAACACTCATTTCTTGAGGTCTTTTGTAAAATATCTATTAGATCAAGCACTGGATCAATACTGGATCCAACCGGTGAGGCTTCGCTCCGACTCCGTCTCCACGCAGCCAATCACGAACAACACATGCAGGGAGAGAGACAAAGACAAAGGCTGCAGGCCAGGCAGAAGTGGAGGGTATGACAGATAGTTTATTCAGGAGACATATTTGTCCCACTGATTCCGTCTCAAAAAGAAAAAAAAATGCTAAATTTAGTTTATTACAATGTTGATGTGTTTTAGTCCATTTTTGGCAAGGTTCCCATGAGGGGAGATAACTTGCTTTTAGGTGTGATATGTTGTGTATGAGTATTATATGCTTGTTGTAAAAGGCCTTTTTTGCTCATAAGATCTGACTGGGTGTTCTAGATCACCTGATTGTGTTGGTGAGTAATAAATACTTGATCAACACATGATAAAAAAATAAAAAGGACAGGAAGTCATGCCAGATGACAAAATGAAAGTATATAAGAGGTCACGATCTCACTTCAGGTTACTCTAACAGCAGACACTGAGGCTCCTCAAAGGGTAAGAAGCTGCCATTTCATTTGATATAATTTGTATTATTTATTGATATTATAATGTAATTTATTGATATTAGACTTTCAATAAAATGTCACTATGAATGTTTTAGCAAAAAAGGTTATATTTTAAAAATGTTTTTTTTTAATGCTATAGATTTGAAACTGTAAAATATTTGGACAATATCAAATATGTATTTAAGGAATTTACAGGATGTTTGTAATTTTTCCTAGAGTTCCTAATATCAGGTTTTTTATTGTTGAATGCATTCTGTATGTGATAGAATAATGTTATTAGCAAATTGCTTTACATCTATGTAATATGAGTTATGTGCGACTGTCTTGTCTGACAAAGTGAGTACTTTCCAGGATTGAAACATGTTGTCTGCTGTATTTTCTCTTCCTCTTTGTCCCCTTCAAGTCAGCAAAGAGGGAAAGAAGACTCTTAATAACTGAGATGGATCTGCATGAGGCAAAATTTAAATTATGTGAGTATTCTCTAGCAAGATGAATATTTGATTAATAACTCTTATTATAATTATAACTCTATTTGTAATCCTTTAATTTGTGATCAGGTTAACTCTTTTATGGTAATTTTCAATTATTGATTCACAACGGGGGCTGCACAAGCCAAGAGCGGGACACTAATTTTAGTAGTTATTATGATTCAAGGGGGTGTTGCCCAATGTTTGACAGAAAGTTCCTAATGCCTCTATGGTAGATAAAACATGAAAAAGGACCCTGCAGGGTTCCCTTCCAGCGGACAAGATGTGGTAAATGTTAAAGACAAAGCTGCTTCACCATAAATGAATCCTGACTTTCTGTTCATTGGTCTCCACCGCACAGCTGGTGATCTTTTCTTTCATCATTTCCCTAAAACCGCCTTGAGTCAGCCATTGACCCCCACTTTGACTTTGTGTGTTTGTATGAATGAAGCTGAATGCTGTCAGAGTGCGTGCTGAAAGTACACATTTCCCCTTATAAGTTCCATGATTTATTCCCACTCAGCAATTTAGAGTCACTGAAGAAAGTTTTAGTTCTGCTTTTTTAGATTTATACTGGTACAGTTTGGCTTTCATCACTGTCTGATGAAGTGAGGAGAGGTCAATTTTTGCTTGCCTTTACAGGAAAATATTTGAAATAATGTCTGGGGAAATTCAGGAGAGTTACCTTACTGACTGTTAAGTACAGCAAAGCATGTCTAAATGCACAACTAGAATTTGGATCTATAAAACTCAGTAGAACTTCTCCACTTTGTCAACTGTGCTTCAGGAAAAAGAACAAGCTTGCTGAACCAAATATTAAGATTAAAAACATTTAGATAAAAGTTCCCTGCTGCAGTATGCTTTTCTCTCCATGTGTGTTTCCAGTTGCTGTCAGTGTGCTGCTGCTCACACTTTACCCCAGCTATGCCCCTGCTATCACTATGAAGGAACATCTGGCTGATTGTCTGGAGGACAAAGACTACCATGAGCTGCTGCAGACTGTGCAGAACGGCCACCCACACATCAATACCTCTCATCATGTTGTTATTGTCGGAGCTGGCATGGCTGGACTGACAGCTGCCAAGTTACTGCAAGACGCAGGACACAAGGTACACAAGGCAACAGGCTTAGGTTCTATACATGTTATATTAAAAAAAAACACTGCATGAAAAAAAGACATTTTTCTGATTATTAAGCATGAACCTGCTGGGAAGTAGGGTCTGGGTAGGACCCAAGTTCAGGCTAAGAATGGTTAGAATAGTAGCAGTAGCAGAATGTATTGTATTTATTTATGTGTTTTGGTAACAAGGTAACCATATTAGAGGCTAGTGATCGTATTGGAGGACGGGTGGAGACCTACAGGAATGAAAAAGAGGGCTGGTATGCTGAGCTGGGAGCCATGAGGATCCCAAGATTTCACTAGTGAGTTTATGTACATTTTTAAATTTAGCATTCACATATATAACAAATGCATGCAACACTCCCCCCTCTCAGACTAGAATAACAGTTTGAATTAATTAACTTGCTTACAAGAATAAGTAGAGAGACTTTGCAGTTACAAGCTAACACTGCCACCCTCACTTCCTGTCAACAGTATCGTCGGTTGGTTTGCTAAAAAGCTAGGGGTCAAACTGCATGAATTCCGCATGGAGGACCTGAACACCTTTTACCTGGTCAATGGGGTACGGAAGAGAACATACACAGTGCAATCAAACCCTGACGTGTTGAAGTACAAAGTGCGGAGAAGTGAGAAAGGAAAAACAGCCGACGAGCTGCTACAGCGAGCTTTACAGAAGGTACGTTAGAGATTGAAAATAAATGCGGGATGGAGTTAACACAGTTAAGTTCATACATTCTTACATGGTACCATACATGGCCCAATTCTGTGTTTTAAGCTATAGAGGAACCAGTTAGATAGGATACATTTAAACTTCTGAAAATTTGGAAGGATGTATGTATGGTTGTTATGCAAACTGCCATACATTTGAGTTACACATTCATGGTTCAGCATACATATCATTTTGTGAATACTTGTGATAACAGCATTAGATCAATGGGCGATTCAATTAACTTCATCCATGGAAGTGACATTTTCTTTTTCTTTTTTTAGGTCAAAGATGAAGTAGAAGCTCATGGTTGCAGGGCTGCGCTGAGAAAATATGACCATTATTCTGTGAAGGTAAAACATTTTAATTAGATTTTAATGTGTCACTATGGTGAGTCGCATAATGTGGCCTCTAAAAGTGAACATAATCAGTGAGTTAAAAAAGAATATAGAAACTAAAAAACTGTAAGATAGGAGAAGACAGAAAAGTAAAATGCCAATATATTGGCCTTATTTTCCCCAGCAATTTTGAGATTTTGCTATGAATTAAAACATCAATAGGTCTCTAGTATGATTCTTGAGATTTAAAAACCTGACCAGTGGAAAATATTTTATCAAGCAATTTTGTTTTGTCTTCTTTCTGAGCCACTATGACAGCATGGTATTTTATTTGTTTAACAGGAGTATCTGAAGGAAGAAGGAGGCCTGAGTTCAGAAGCAATAAGAATGATTGGAGACCTGCTTAATGAGCAGAGCCTTATGTACACAGCCCTCAGTGAGATGATCTATGACCAGACTGACATCAATGACACTGTTAAGTGAGTCCCTACATTCGATATTGTCAAATATTTAACATGGGAATCATATTTTATTGCACACTAGTTAAAAATGATAAATCCCCGAGCCAGCAAAAACAGAGTTTTGTTTCTGGCCACCTAATGGGGATGTATGTCCAATATTGAGCCTTAGTTCTGCTTTGGGTTCACTCACTGCTTAGCAGAAATAACCAACTCTTCAAATGCTAAAAGCTCCAAAGTCACTAGCAAGTTGCTAAGAAGATAGTGTGCAGAGGGTTCACCAGAAGGCAATACTGTGGTTGATAAAGATAACTTTAGCTTGTCTTAGATTGTTGGTATGATAGGAGTTGGCTTCCAGACACAAATCAAGAGCATATGGACATACTGCAAATTTACACCAGTCTCTGCAAAAATACACGCAATGAGTGGATGTCCTTGTCTTTTCGTATTTTAGGTATGACGAAGTGATCGGTGGTTCAGACCTTCTCCCGAAAGCTTTTCTTACTGTCCTTGATGTCCCTATTCTCCTCAATTCCAAGGTCAAGCGCATCAGCCAGTCAGATAAAGGTGTAGTTGTATCGTACCAGACAGGGCAACAGTCTGATCTTACTGACCTTCTCGCCGATGTCGTCCTGGTAACAACCACAGCCAAAGCAGCCCTTTTCATAGACTTTGATCCACCTCTCTCCATCAGAAAGATGGAGGCCCTGAGGGCAGTCCACTATGACAGCTCCACTAAAATCATCCTCACCTTCAGCAAGAAGTTCTGGGAGAGTGACGGCATCCATGGAGGAAAGAGCATCACAGACAGGTCCTCTCGATTCATCTACTACCCCAGCCACAGTTTCCCAGCAAATAAGACCATCGGCGTCCTCCTGGCTTCCTACACCTGGTCTGACGACTCCCTCCTCTTCAATGGTGCGAGCGATGAAGAACTGAAAGAGCTGGCTCTGAGAGATTTGGCAAAGATCCATCAGAGGGATGTTAGGCCTTACTGCACAGGGGTGCTGGTAAAGAGGTGGAGCGCAGATCCTTACAGCTTGGGTGCCTTCGCTCTCTTCACGCCCTATCAACATTTAGAGTATGCTAAGGAGCTCTTCAGAAGTGAAGGCAGGATACACTTTGCTGGTGAACACACAGCCTTTCCTCACGCTTGGATTGAGACATCTATGAAATCTGCAATCAGGGCTGCTACAAACATTAACGAAGCGGTGCTCTTGAATTCAGAGTTAGCTAAATGTCCGGTGAGAGATGAGCTGTAGGGTCTGGAGAATTGATTACAAGCAACCATGTATTATGGTATTAATAAAAAAAGAGTAGCAAGTGTGAAATATATCCAGCTAATGTCACAGAAATTGTTTATGTTGAAATACCATTTTAATCAAACATAAATCAATAAAACCTCTATGTACAATATAAAGTGATTGTTTTAAAATGACTTATGTATACACAAAGAAAAATAAATGTTTCAAACAGACTGAATTAGAATATTTTCATTTCCTGAAAAAAATGCATGTGATTACTGCATCTGCTGCCACCACAACCACCACTACCGCTGCAGCTTCTCAAAGAGCTCCAGTAAAAAGTGTTCCCATCTGATGATACCACCCAAGATTGATAACTGATAACTGAATACTGCATTCAAGAAATCTGTTGGGGTTTTTATTAATGGCTACAAGGAGGAGCTATTGCCAGGATAATTGTATGAAAAGCATTTAAGAGTTATGGCCTGTTAAGTGCATCCAGCCAAAACTTTGGTAGCCAATTACAGACAAACGAATAGTGATACCCGAACACAAACCTATAAGTCTTCTTCAGCTTCATCTAAATGTTGTCCATAATGTTTTAAGGCACAGATGGGTGAGGCCTATATCAGTAAAATTGGCATTATCCAAGGAACCCACTGTACAAAAATGTTTGTTCTATTCCTAACTGTTCATGAGTTATTAGCCAAAACATAATGCTTCATGGTGGGGTATATATATATTGTTCTGAAGAAATTCACACACATTTTGCGAAATAGAAAAAAAAAATCATACAGTTATAATTACACAGACATTTATAGTCATTGTGGACAATCTGAATGCCGTTCAAAACGTGATATCTAGTATCCAAAGAAGAAATGTGTGTGGAGATATATGTGACTTGATTTTGCATATTTTGAAAAATATAGAGTGACTTTTGAATTGACCATACTTTGTAGTAAGGCAAACTTGTCACAGTTCAGTGGATGTGCTGAAAAACATTTTAGCTTTGTAGGACATACAGGTGATTTATTTCGATTTTTCGAAGGTTTGGAATTTGTAGGACTTAATAACCAACCATATGTTGGTGCTATTGAATATATGCTTTAATATGTTTTGCACATCTCCATTCTTTCATCAGATTCTGATGAGTATATGTGACTCCCATTGTCGGGCCATTCAAAGGAAATTGCAGTAATATATTCATATAATTTAATAGCTGTAACAGATATCAAAATAAGTCATAGAGAAATAACCCAATGAGGAAATGCAACAAGTCATTCATCTTAGATTTAGTTTGCTAACCACGTTTGCCATTCCCACCGTCACGTTTTCAGTGTGTGCCACTTAGCTTGGTTAGCTTGTAAGGAAGTAAGAAAACTACTTCTCAGCTCTACCACAGTGCATTTTGGTGTTCATACAACACATGACACATGACAAATTCTCGATTAACACTTAGGAGGACTATGGGTTCCTTTAGTGAATGCTTAAAACCAAGACAGTAGTCAAGATCACCCCATACCTATGAAGATTGTGTCCATAAATTGATTCAAAAATTACCTATAAATCCAGTATTGCTATACATCGGTTTTGCTTGGTCAGTGTATTCAATTATGTTTTTAAAATACCAAAATTTTATGTTTTTATTTTTTTTCTTGGTCAAAATGGGATGAGCAAATTTTTGGGGGGGATTTTCATTTTCTATGTCATATAATAAAAAGGAAATCACCATAAAACAGGTTTACACATTCACAAAAGGAACCCATAATCCTCACAAGTGATGATAAATGCAGGTCAAAATGAATGAGCCAAAGAAGTATGAACCAAAATGCACTGTAGTAGAGCTGATAATTTAAGGATTTTTTTTTTTTACTTCCTTTCAAGCTAAACTCGCTTAAGATACAGTCTCCATGTGACACACACTGAATATGGCAATAATGGCAGACCTGATTAAGATGAATGACTCGTAAAATTCTTGTTGAATTTCCTCACTGCAGTTGCATTTTTGGCAGAGTTCCCATCAGATAACGCCCAGACTCCTTGTTCAGGTTGAGTAATTGTGTTTTTTTTCTGATCATGAGACCTGAGGTTATTCCGGATCACCTGATTGCAAGGGTTGGTAAATGATGAAACTGAAAACCAAACATACTGGAAGTCATGGCCTTTGAGGTCAGGCCAGTCAAGTGAGCATCGAGGCGAAGTGCGGTATATAAGAAAGCTAAGATTTCACAAAAGGTCACTGTAACATCAGATCAGCTCCTCAAGAGGTAAGAATCTGTCATTTCATCTTGTATATGCATGTAAAAAGATTATCTGTTATTGTTTTCTTGCAAATCTTATATTAGGAATTAATTTGCAGAACATTACATCGCCTATACAAGATAAGATGAAACCGAATATAAAATAGCTATAAAAAAAGACAAATTAATAACTAATGTAAAAAGAAAATTTACTTAAAATATAAACTGCAATAGTAGAAATTGGATCTATAATGAAATGAATTTAAATTTGACTCAGTTTTAATTTTTACTATCTTTTTCTGTGTTTTTCTTGTTGCATTTTTCTTATTGTAAATGTTTTCTGCCATGCATATCATATGCTAAATTCATGAAAACCCTAATATAAGGTAGCATACTATAACAGTCAAAGATGAAACTTCTCTCAGTTCAAGTATTAACATATTTTGTCTCCTATATGTTTCTTTTCCTCATCCTCACCGCAGAAAAGCTTCCAAACTGAGATGGATTCACATGCCGTTAAGTGGAAATTCTGTGAGTATTTTAAGCAATATTGTGCTTTTTGTTATTAGATAAACCAACAAAGACATGAGATACTTTATAATTCCAAAGTCATTCCTAAGTCAAGAACCACCATTAAAAGTCTTCAGTCAATCAGATATCAGACCACCCGGAGACATCTGTCATCTGTTCCTTGATCTTTTTTCTTGTCTACAGTTTTGAGTCAGGAAATAAGCCCTGTACAGTAGTTCTGCTTTTGAGCACAAGGTTTTCATGGGTGCAGTTTTACTTTCATCATTACATGATACAATGCAGAGAGGGAAGTAATTATAAGTGGGATTTGCCAAAGTAAAGCCATTGCTTTTGTCTGCGGGTAATTTTCGGAACTGAATTCTTTTTTCCAAAGTTTCTGGACTCTCTGATTTCAAATCATCCACACCGCTATTTCCCGTTTTATGATAGCATAGAGAGATCCAGTCAGAGCTGTACATCAAATTGGCAGCTTACCATTTACATATCATTTTCAATGTACAAAGCCCCAGATAGACTAAATGTTCACAGGCCACTCAATTACTTTGGCTCATTTTAAATCATCATGTGGCAAAAGCTTTAATGTGTTTTGTGAGAAAGCCAAGTTTAATGTAAATTACAGCAAAATAAACCCAAAAAATAAATAAATAAAGATGATGAAATGGTTAAGTATAATGTGAAAGTGAAAAAAATAATTTGGTACTTCTTATAGAGAAAACCGAAAAAGTGTTCAATCTGTACACTTTCAGTTAATTATTTCCCATTATTCCTAGTTTACCCTAAACCACAAAAAGTTAAAGTTTCCTTTATCTTTTGAGAATTTTTTTTAACAAATTCCATAGCATATACAAGCATTTTTTGTTTGTCTATGTTTAGATGGTTCATTTATCTGACTGGGTGAAGTTCACCTGTAATAGATGGTGATAGACAGATGGTTCATCCAATCACGTGCAGGGTTTTTAGAAGTGCCCTGCCCTTTTCCAAACAGTTACCAATGAGAATTACCCATATGGTTCACAGGTTAGTTTGCTGTTGGAGTAAGTTGTGTGTTTTTCTCTCTGTGTGTTTCCAGTTGCTGTCAGTGTGCTGCTGCTCACACTGTACGACAGCAACACTGCTGCTGTCAGCATGAAGGAACACCTGGCTGATTGTCTGGAGGACAAAGACTACAGTGAGCTGCTGAAGACATTGGAGAAGGGCCTCCCGCAAATAAATAAATCTCATCACGTTGTTATTGTCGGAGCTGGTGCAGCTGGACTGACGGCTGCCAAGTTACTGCAAGATGCAGGACACAAGGTGCATGCAACAGACTGACACTGAATGAGGAAGCTTGTCAACAATATATATATATAGCAAAGAGCAAATTACATTTTATTTTCACTACTTAATGTTATTGGTGTGTGATTATGCTAAATCAAAAATCAGGACTAAGACTCCTATGACTAAGTACTTTATCTGTTTTAACAAGGTAACCATATTAGAGGCTAGTGGTCGTGTTGGAGGACGGGTGCACACCTACAGGAATGAGGAGGAGGGCTGGTATGCTGAGATGGGAGCCATGAGGATCCCAAGTTTTCACTAGTGAGTGAAAATGTTTCTTAAATTAGGTCGTTTTTTCCTCAAATGAATGTTGTGTTTTACCCTTTCAGCTACTCAAAACTCCTTGTTAAATAGTAAGCATGAGGAGCAATGCCTAACAACTTAGAGAAATTCAAGCATCATCAACATAAACCCAACAGCCTTTGACAGGTGCACTGCGTGAAAATGCCACAGCGATTAGCTCGTTTGCAATGGTTAAATATGATTAAGTGATGTATAGAAAGTAACAGCACGAACAGTATTCCAATCTTTTATGTCTTATTTATGTTACTTGCTGAGTATCTGGTGTATGTAGTTGTCATAGAGGCATCAGTGTTCAGTTGAGACTGTTTTATAACCAGTTAAAAACTCACTCTTGGCTCACATTTTCCAGACTTCAGGGATATTTGAATCACAAGCTTATCACCTCATTGTTACACAGCATTGTCCGCTGGTTTGCTAATAAGCTGGGGGTCAAACTGAATCCATTCATCATGGAAGACATAAACACCTTTTACCTGGTACATGGGCTGCGAAAGAAGACGTATGCAGTGAAAACAAACCCTGACATCCTGAAGTATAAACTGCCGAAAAGCGAGAGGGGGAAGTCACCCGACCAGCTTCTACAGCAAGCTTTACAGAAGGTATGCAAAAGAAAAGTCAATTGTATCAGCTGTTTGTCTTTTACAATTGCTGCAACTTTTCATTCCTTGTAGAATTTCAGGGGCCTAAAAGCCCAGTTCAGACCAGTTTTAGAAGCTTGACTCAAGCGGATCTTGAATCCCCAGTGGCTGGTTTTAGAACGTACGGCATGACACCTGTTTCAACAGCCAATCAGCTGTTATTTCAGCAGCATTTGAAATATTTATTCTAAAAACACTTTGAAATATAATAATATAATAATCGAAACAGTTTAAGTAATCTAGACTTATATATATGAAACACATTTATTTTAGTTAAATAAAACAGTGTTAGGTTTAGGTGGTGTGTGATTGAGTGTGTGAAGAGAAACCGCTGTGAATAACACTGGATGAAATAATCTTTTCTGCAGGTGAAAGATGAAGTGGAGGCACATGGCTGCAAAGCTGCTCTACAGAAATATGACCACTATTCTTTGAAGGTAAATCATGATGTGATTTCATGGAATTCTACAAAATGAGCAAGTCTGACTCACAAGACTATGTGATGTGCGCTTAAAATTAAGGTTGAATGAGCTTGAACACCAAATTTATAAAACATCTGTTTGTGCTTTCACAGGAGTATCTGAAAGCAGAAGGTGGTTTGAGTCCAGAAGCGGTGAGGATGATTGGCGACTTACTCAATGAACAGAGTCTCATGCACCTGGCGCTGACTGAGTTGCTTTATCTCCAGAGCGACGTTAGCGACAGCACCACGTAAGATTTAACAGACTGTAGTTGTTTTGACAAGAATCATAAGAAAAGAAAGATGTGATTCATCACGTCTGACCAAATACAGCATTCTTATTCAAAGCTACATATGTGTGAAGATCCAATTGGGTATTGGTTCAAAATAAACTCTAAGCATATCTACTCTATCCTAAGTCAGGCTGAATGACACCGAGAGTCCCACACAACGCATAAAGGAGACTGTCAGTCTGTCTGTTAGATTGTTCTTAATCTTGGTCTTCCAAGACTATATCTTGTCTACGATATGTTGGGTGCTTATTGTTCAACCTTATCGACTGATCTAGTCTAGTCAGAGAGGAGGCTAAAATAACATGGAAGAGGCACAGGCTGTGACCTCTTTCAAATTTGTAGACAAACTTAGAGTAGAATGGGGACCATTTCAGTCTAATGTGAAGAAGGAAAGTTCCTTCCCAGTTAAGCTTGTTGAAGTGGTTGCATATATAGAGTTTGGCCATTGCAGACTTGAAGTGCAATAAAAATTAATTGAATTTCAGATATACTGTACTTTATGGGCTAGACAGAGACAGGCAGGTCAATCTGTAGCTTAGCTGTTTAAATGAATATAAATGACCATGGGTCAGATCTGCTGAATGACATTGCATAATACATAAAGTACAAACCAGGCAGTCATTTTGTGACATTTGAGCTCAGTTCAATAAAACTAAAATGTGGTTTTGTTTTGAAGGTACGATGAAGTGACTGGTGGGACAGATCTCTTGACCACAGCTTTCCTCACTGTCCTGGATGTCCCCATCCTCCTCAACTCTAAGGTCAAAGGTATCAGCCAATCACATAGGGGTGTGACTGTATCATATCAGACAGGCAAACAGTCCTCTTTACAGAATCTTTTAGCTGACGTCGTCTTGGTAACAACCACAGCCAAGGCAGCTCTGTTCATTGACTTCCATCCACCTCTCTCCATGAGAAAGATGGAGGCCCTGAGGGCAGTCCACTATGAAAGTTCCACTAAAATCATCCTCACCTTCAGCAAGAAGTTCTGGGAGAGTGACGGCATCCATGGAGGAAAGAGCATCACAGATGGGCCATCTCGATTCATCTACTACCCCAGCCACAGTTTCCCCAAAAATCAAACCATTGGGGTCCTACTGGCTTCCTACACCTGGGCTGATGACTCCCTCCTCTTCAATGGTGCAAGTGACGAAGAGCTGGCAGAGCTGGTTCTGAGAGACTTGGTGCAGATCCACGGAGAAAAGGTCAGGTCTTACTACACAGGGGTGCTGGTAAAGAGGTGGAGCCTCGATCCTTACAGCTTGGGGGCCTTTGTTCTCTTCACGCCCTATCAACATTTAGAGTATGCTAAGGAGCTCTTCAAAAGAGAAGGCAGGATACACTTTGCCGGTGAACACACAGCCTTTCCTCACGCTTGGATAGAGACATCTATGAAATCTGCAATCAGGGCTGCTACAAACATTAACGAAGCTGCGCACAAAGAGTTAAATAGAATTCAACACCAAGACGAGCTCTAGGGTCTTAAATCCAGCACTTTACCTAGGTGGTTGCATTGCCTGGCAAAAGAGTGAAAGTCGTTGATTTGCATTTTTCACCAGCCAGGTCTAAACTGGATGGACTTTTGGCAGTGAATGATGGCTTGATGTTGATAGACAACAGCATAGTTCGATGTCATTCATTACGCAGCTGCTTTAGAAATAACTGTCTAACCTCAGTAGGATGTGCATCACTAGTGTTCCTCCAATCTTCATGTTTATATCTTATTCATTTCTGTCTGTGTGATCAAAAAGGTGCTCAATGACAAACAACTACTGACTTTTCTCTCTGCTCTGAACATTTTTCAACTGAAGACAAGAAAAAGTTTGAGCTGCCCAAAGAGAATATGCACAAAATGCTTGCTTCTGCTGTCAAAAATAAAGAGGCTCTCCTGCATTCTCTGATCTTTGAAAATAAAGCTTTGGTATTGTCAAACCTGACCTTTATAAGTTATTACACCTCCTTTGATAGAAATGCTTTACAACCCTTTCCCTGTCATAAATGATGAGTTTAGCCACACATATTTGTAACTGTTGCATATGTCCAAATTTTAATTTCACTTAATAGAAACATAACTTTTTCACAGTTATATCAGTTGTGATACAAACATTGCAAAAACACTATCTACCAGTAAACTAAATTTTCACAAAACAAAACCACAACAAATGGCTCCCATTTACAAATCTTTTATTTTAAGTTATTGAATATGGCAATAGGCAGTCCATAATAACAATAAACATTCACATATAGTAAATACCGAGCAAAAAATAGCAAGCAAGTGTCAAATTTGTTAATACAAGTTCTGAATTTGTGCTATTGAATAAGTTAATTTGGGCTTCCATATTAGTTTGTACTCTGAGAAATTCTGATTTATACTACTCTGAATGTCATATCTTAAAATCTCAAATTGGTGAATTTTTACGCACAAATATTTCGTTCATGCTCATCAGTTACTTAATTCATGCATAGACATGAGTGGCTCTTATCCTTGTCCTCTCAGTAGGCTTTTGTTACAGGTTCTGTGAAGTCACTTTTTAAAAGCAGCCTTTCTGACATGAAATGCAGCTCTAATGTAGACAATTGATCTAAATGGTTTAATTAAGATTTTATTACATTGTGGATACATGTGTATACTAAAGCAAATGTATGTTGTAATTTGTGAGCATGAGTCTTTACACTCACTGTGTGAACTACTAAATCATGCACCCTTAATAATAATAATAAAGAGCATAACTGAATTGAGTGCACAAGTCAATAATTTGAGAAAAGACATTTGTATGAAACCCAGTAAGTTTGAATCATAACACTCTGCAGGTGGTACTGCTGTGTATTCAAATGATATATTGCTGTATTTCCTTTATTTTATCCAATGATATATAATCAAATCTTTATCTCGAATTTGTTGTCTAAAGTTCTCGTATGCTGAAACATACAAGATACAACTAATTTAATTGTCAGATCCTGTGGGTCTTTACTCATTGCTTTAATGCCAGCAGAGCATTTTTCCTGCTCTGTGTAGAAACAGCAGAGGTAAGACCAAATTGCTGGGCAGACTAAACCAGAGAGCAGATATCAGCGCCATACAGCCGTCAACGTGACTCCGCAGTTTGGAGTTTTCCAGAGCATTACAAATAAGGAACGCTGCAAACCACACCCACAGCGCTCCCATTATGACAGTAATAGTGTGGAAAGCCCTCTGCTTTGATTGATCAACCCTCTCCCTGTTCCCGCCCACATCCCCTGGCCCCGGACGAATCAGAACACAGAGAACACGAAGGCTGCAGAAAGAAATAGCAATTAAAGAGAAGATCAATAAGCAGACATTTAAGGTAGCAGTAGCCGCAGGCACACTCAGTGCTATCACGCAATTGTATCCGAAGCACAGCAGCCAAACACATACAGTGCTGATATTTCTGATCTTGACCCCACCTGACTGTCTCAGCCCCATGTAGGTGACGGGGTGAACAACAGCCAGGTATCGCTCCACACAGGTCAGGATGTGAAAGAGAATCTGTCCAGGGTAAACAACAGTAGACATATATGACCCCACTGTAACCGCCTCTGAGAGACCAGTGTAGTAGCCACAAATGTATGTCATGCTCCCCAAAGCATATGTAAGCTCCATGGCAGCCACATGGTAGGTGAAGACGTCAGAGTGACTCGTTGTTGCAAAGGAGTGTTGCTGCCGCCATCGCTGGTGGCCCAGGTAGAGGACGAGGGTGGAGAGAGGGAGGAGGAGGAAGGTCCTGGTCGCAGTGAAGGAAAAGGAGAAGAAAAGTACACCTCTGGAGTTGGAGCAGGGGGAAAACAAATCAAGGGCGGAGGAAGAGGAGTTGACTGGCATATCGCTCTGTGTGGTATTTCTTTTTTGGTGAAAAGGGAGAAAAGAGGAACAAAAATAAATCAAATGAGAAAACAATGTTTCACCTTCATTCCAAAAATAGAACACATTATTTTTTTAGATATCCTTACATCTGTATTTAGAGTTTTTGTCTGTAGTAGCAGCAGATGTATTTCCTGTAATATTGTTATTGTTTTTATGTAGAAGTGTGTGTCACCAGCAGACCACAGGCGGGGGCCTCTTTGCATATTCCTGGGTCTGTGCTGACAAGGTATGGAGTTATACAAGCCACATCAAAGCATTTTGTTCCTGCATAAAAACGTCTAAATGTGTACTTTGTGGTCAACAATTTGAGTCTGTACAGGTTCAATCGATGCCAGGAAAGGGACTTTAAAACAACAGGGAAAAAATCCTTGTTTATGGTGCTTTGTATCTCACAACTGTCTCATTTTGGACACAGTAAATCAGAATTATGAGACGCTAAGTCAGATTTTTCATTTAGCATCAGATAATTTGGACTCAAAGTTAAGTAAATTTGGCACATGAAGTGTATTTCGAAATTCATTGTTAATAACTTGTCATTACCTTTTTTCCTCTTTCTGACATGGGCTTCTATAAAAGTTTAACTTTGTAATAAAAAAATCTATTAAAAAACAAAAAAACAGTTTAACAATAAGTGGACACAGTGTCTAATCTCCATGGAAAAGCAGGCATTTAAAAATATTACCTGAAAACAGTTATGTAATTAAAGTACACCCACCTATTGAGCAGCGTTTGTTCTCCTGCTCGTTCCAGACTCACCGAGTGCTATTCACCAGCGTCTGTCATAATCATATCAACGCCTCTGTGTGTTAGGGTATTAATGTCATGTGGCTGTTTTGCATGCTGCCAAACTACTGATGGATTTTGTGTCACTTAATACTGTAGATGGAGGCAGGCAAATGTTCCTTTTACATTAATCTTCCAGCAGGAGGTCAGAGCACAGGTCATCTGTTCACTTCAAATGCAAATTGTTTGCTTTTTTTTCAATAATTTATTTCAAGAGTGCCAGAGTTAATACATCATTTTACATTTGCTTATATATGAAGTTTGTACTTACAGAATTATTACTCTATATATTATATAGTAAAGAAATTCTATGTTTTCCTAACTAAAACAAACAACTTATTATTTCAAGAGCAAACATCACTAAATTGTGTTCACAAGTCAATCATTTACAGCTTACTGTAATTAAGTTCTAATTTAAAGTTCTTAATGTTCTCTATTTTAAAACTCCTCAAATCCTGTGCAGTGGGGGTCTCTAATGGCAGCAGAGCAGTTTTCCTGCTCTGTGTAGAAACAGCAGAGGTAAGACCAAATTGCTGGGCAGACTAAACCAGAGAGCAGATATCAGTGCCACACAGCCATCAACATGACCCAGCAGTTTGAAATTTCCCAGAGCATTACAAATAAGGAACGCCGCAAACCACACCCACAGCGCTCCCATTATGGCAGTAATAGTGTGGAAAGCCCTCTGCTTTGATTGATCAACCCTCTCCCTGTTCCCGCCCACATCCCCTGGCCCCGGACGAATCAGAACACAGAGAACACGAAGGCTGCAGAAAGAAATAGCAATTAAAGAGAAGATCAATAAGCAGATATTTAGGTTGTTGGGAGGTGCAGGCATGCTCAGCGCTATCACGCAAATGTTTCCGAAGCACAGCAGCCAAACACATACAGTGCTGATATTTCTGATCTTGACCCCACCTGACTGTCTCAGCCCCATGTAGGTGACGGGGTGAACAACAGCCAGGTATCGCTCCACACAGGTCAGGACGTGAAAGGACAACTGTCCAGGGAAAACACAGGAAGACGTATAAATCCCAAACATTAGCACCTCTGTCAGACCAGTGTAGTAGCCACAGAGGTAGACTGCACTCCCGAAAACATATATCAGCTCCACAGCAACCATGTGGTAGGTGAAGACGTCGGAGTGGCTCGTTGTTGCAAAGGAGCGCTGCTGCCGCCATCGCTGGTAGCCCAGGTAGAGGACAAAGGCGGAAAGAGGGAGGAGGAGGAAGGAAAGAAATGGAGATGAAAAGTCCGGTGCTGGAGTCGGTACAGTGGTACAAAATATCGAGGGAGGAGTTACTGGTTTGTGTGGTACTCCTTTTATAGAGAAAATGGAGAAAAGTGGATCATAAATAAATGAACTGAGGCAACATGTTTACCAGGCACTTTCATTTCAAATATGATTAAAGTGATTCAAAACTAAAACACCACGTGATTCAGAAGTCTGTATTTATGGTTTTTGGCCATAGTAGAAGCAGATATAAGCAGACATGAAAGTCTGCAAAGCATAACCATAATAACACTATCTGACAACAGAAGTTCAACAACCTGACAGCTTAAATGTCCCGAATGAAAGTGTACAACAAAAATATCTGTTTCTCTTTAAAACAAGAAAATGTTCATGGGAAATTGGAAGTTAAGGTGATAGTTTGAGGTTTTTGAAGTGGGGGGGATTGAGGTGCTTATTCATAGTCAGTGTATTACCCATTGTAGATGGCTCTCAGCATGTCTCCTGTGTGTAGAAGTACCAGTCTGGAAGCTAAGGAACGTATACGCTGTGGACAGAAAAGAAACAATGTGCTGAGTTTCTCTTTAAAACAAGAAAATGTTCATGGAAAATGGTACAGAGACATTTATGTTGTGTAATAGCAGAAAGGTGTCATGCTATGTAATAACAAAATAAAATAAATGTTCCCTTATTACACTACAGTTACGGTAAATCAAAAACTCCTGTATTGACCTTCAAAAAACCAACATATGAGTAAAGTTAATTCAAGAAAAAAAACCCTGGATGGACTGCAGTTGGTCGAGTATACAGAGTTTTAATCGCGGTGGTCTCATTTGTCAAGTCGATAACCAGTTAAAATGCAAAGAGGTCGCGTTTTCATAAATGTGGACACAATTTTGGAAAACATTCATGGGAAAGTACACGTTTAAATAGTAACTACAAACCATTGTGTAATTAAAAGACACCCACCTGGTCAGGTTTCTGATCAGTCTCCTGCACGTCCAAACTCACTGCTTTCTGCATTGATATCTGCAG